CCCCCCATCCGAAATTTTATATGCTCATGATCGGCAGAAACCAGATCGCGGCTGGAACCAGGTCTTTCAAGCGGCCCTGCACTTCTACCTGGCTCTCAACATCTTGTTTTGCTTCCCTGAGCTATGGGATCCAACATCCCGCGAGGCACGCAATAAGAAAAAGTCTGAGGAGTATCGTGGAACGCTCATGTACCAGAAAACTGTCCGGACCTGGACTCTAGAAGGATCGAACAACGAGGTCCCCCGCTATCCCCACCGCCAATTCTTCGGACTCGAAGATCATTTCCATCAGTCAGTCAAGGTCGAGCGATACCTGAATCAGCCCGCCTTTCTCGCGTTGAAATCAAAATACCGTGACCCGGCCGATTCCTGGCCTCCACCCATCCGAGTCCCCAACGACGACTTTCCGTTTGGCAAGGTCCCATTCGAGGCGTTCCTGAATTGCAGCACAGTGGCCGGATTCCAACCCGATGTGACGGATACTGCGCGCGTCGAGCTGTATCTGCGGATGAAAGGATTGCCGCAGGAACTGGTCTGGCAGATCACCGCGCTAGCAGATTACGACTCTCAGCGACCGCGGCGACTCCCCATCCCGCATGATCCACTCCACCGAGACAATCACAGGGCACTGCGACAGTATTTGACGTTCTGCTGGCAGATTATGGTTCGATGCAACATGCTGGCACAGGAGGTGGGGATTGAAATCAACTGGGTCTCTGAGGTTGTGCATGCCCTCCAAGATATGGCATCGGCCCCGGGGAGGCCTCTCTTCACAAGCAAATGGGACGAATCTTTCGATTATAGGCTGGCTACGATGCAAGGGGGGAGTGGAGAACTCCCCTACACCTTCCGATACCGCTAGATTTCCTCTTACACTGCACATTTCGGATGCATAATTGCCATCCCAAATCCACTTCACAGGCGTCAGTCTGGCTGCTTTGGACCCAGTTCCGCTCTAGGCAGCAGTGCGGCTTCAACTTTGATATATCGGACCATATGACTTCTATTACTTCTGACGTAACACAGTGCCGTTTGGACCGGGATGCTGTCCTGGTGTTGGTGACTTCCGCGTCATTCCGACGTATGATTCCAATGATGTCATGGCCACAACCAGTGCATATAATCAGTCGCCCTCAACCCAATTCAATAGGATTTCATCAAAAACTATTAACCCTACAATCCAACCCAGCTGATCTTCAAATACTACACTACACACCATTCCGCTGCATCCCGATCCGCCACAACACCATGACCGATCAACCCCCCGTTGGCCGCGACTTCCTCGACGCGAAGAACGTCGAACCCATTGACCAGAACGATTCCGATCTCGACGAATCCGCCAGCCAGCCTCGCTTTTCGGGCCCGGGGGCGAATACCACTGCACCGTCTACGTCGAAACCTCATTCGAACAAGTTGTTGAACAAGCTCGATCCCCGATACGATAGCGATATCTTGGAAGCGACGTCGCAGGATCAGCAGCGAGAGCAGCGGAGGGGGAGTGACTGAGTTATGTTCTTTTGATGAGTTGTTAAGAAGGGTGACGAATATGCCCTATGATTAAGCATGTGATGCACTGGTCGTCGTGAATATGAGTGGAAATATTGTTAGATACACTCATTAATCTAATTTCGTGGAATAGAAGGATGATAGCAGGGGTAGTGTTAGAGAACGAGGCCATCTATACATGCATCAAAGCCTCTGCTACTCCTCTCAGTACCGAGCAACTACTAGAGAAACTATGCTATGAAGGAGAAACCCAGCAGGGGACTCCTCGCACTCCCCAAATCATTAAGATCTATCGATCCAGTCCGCAGTCCAGACACTGCACGTATTATCAGATGAGACCATTTCCCTAGCTATGCTTCCAAGCCAAAGAAAAGATAAAAAAATGGAAAAACAAAACAAAGAGTTGAGATCAGCTGTTCACTATTTCTAAAAGGGAATGTGCTGTTGCGTTGTAGCGTACGTAGTACCTCTGTCAATGGCTATCGTAGCGATAGCGGCCATCGGGCAGGTCATATGGCGGATCTGGCTTACCCATCCAGATCCTAAGATGGATCTTCTACGTCCAAAAAAGGATTCATAGTATGTAGCATCACATAAAATTGCTGTAACAGCCAGACTCCTATCAGAAAGGATGTGTAGCGTTCCACTCGTCAAACCCAACCCCCGGGTCCAAAACCAGCGTGGGGTCCATCTCTCCAGGGTCTCGCTCATCCAACTCCCCGTTCCAGCAATACTTCTCAAAGCATCGTTCGCATTGATTAGTTCGCTCCATCCCGATACGAGCCAAGCTCCTGTCAACAGCTGCACAACCAATGCAAGCCGGCCACTCCGCATCCCACGTCCCGTTCGCCTGCGTGACGATGTCAAAACTGTTCACAAAGATCTCGTTCATCTGCTCCCGACTCGTGGAGGTCTGCCAGAAGCTGAAGTTCGTGTACGCGCTATATGGGGCATTCGCCAGGTAGAGCACGATTGGGGCCCGATCATCTCCGGTGGTGGTGAGATTCGCGTCACAGCCGAACAGCTGCGGGTGGATGGTATAGTTCAGATTCATCATCGTCTTCACGGGTGGAATCACTGGGAAGGGCAGACCGGCTGCTTTGGCGGCGGTGTAGGTGTTGTATAGGTTGGTACCGTTGTTCCAGTCATAGGGGTCTGCATCTTGCGAATCGTCCCACGCAATGATGAAGTCTACGTTCCGTGCGGGTTGGATTTGTCCCCAGAGCGGGATGGTTTGACCGGTTTCGGAACCGTCGACGAGGTTCAGGTCGGGGGATGTGTGCGCGTTTCCGCTGGAACTGGAGAGGTTGGCGAACGGATTGGGGTATGTGCTATAGGTGATGTCGGTCAGATGCAGATCGAATGACTCCTTGAAAGCATCAACTAATTCGTCTAGATCGCTCGGTGGGGTGAGTCGCTTGGCTAGGTTGTTCTTGGAGGATCGCTTCGCAAACTGCCCGAGGGTTCCATTGGAAATAGTCTCCAGGTACCAGAAGTTGAAGGCGTTGGCGGAAGAGCCGATAAGGAATCTAGCATGATTGAGTTAGGGAGGCAGGCATGAAGTCTAAGGTGACTTACGATGAACGATCAAAACCTCGCCAGCATGTACTCTCATTGACGGGGGCTCCCCTGGAAAGTTGATTTCCCATCCACTCAGTTGGTGTAAATGCACGGACACTTCCACTCCAGGCACCGAATTCAAATGGAGTCACGTCAAACTAAACGTTGTCAGAATGTAGAATGAGGCCAATTCCCCTGAGGATAGACTCACAATTGTTCCATTGGCCCTGGGCTCCAGAAGCCCATCATACTCTGGATCGCCCGACTCAACCGAAGCCAAATGGATGATTGGCATGGGCATTTCATGAGTGATGAATTGGCTCAAGTTTCGAATCCCCGAAAACGTGGTGCTGATACCACCCGACTCTCCCGGGATAAATTCGTACGCGTATCCGCGACCAAGGTAGTCTCCAACGCCTATATCAAACCCAGCAAGGAACTTGGTGGCAATCTGTTCGAAAAGGGTGTCACCAGTAGCGGCGTCGGCAGTGTTATTCTTGACCGTCAACAAACGATCAATCTCGGGTTTCCAGTAATCCACAATCTCATCTGCGGTGGGAAATCCATAGGATGGAAATGACACGGTGGGCCAGGAGCCCCCTGAGAGACCTGATATATAGGTCAAGCTCTGCAGTATCCCGCCAGTTCTTTGCTCATTCGCTTCCATGAGCCGATCGTCGAAGGCACGGATCACTCCTGTTCCAGTGAAGGCGGATCCGAAGCCACCACCGCTGATTGCAAGCCCCAGAATGGGTGTCTGACTGGTTTGGTCGAGACGTGATACATACTCCTGTCTGTCAAAGTCTTCCAGCTCGAGCCGGTCCAGATACGCGTCCAATGAGTTCAGAATGACTTTCTTCCGGCCTTCAACCCAGCTTGCTTCGTCCTGACTGAGACCAACTGCTGGCCGGACCCATTGGAGGTTATCAGGACAGGAGACAGGAACGGGGGCGTAGCCTTGGGGGAGGTCCTGTGTAGCGGCGACCGCTGCCACAGCGGTGACCAAAAGGAACCACATAGCGAGGGGTGATAACTGAAAGAAAAGGAATTGTTGCTGTTGTTGTCAGTTTGATGGAAGAAGATGACTTCTTTATATGCTTGAAGGCTTAGAGCTGAACATACAATGGATTGACTCTGCCACAGGGTCTATACTTCGTAAGGCCTGCTGCGGACCAGGGCTCGGCCTGTGATTAGTCCCGCAAGGCTTTCCCGTTTGGGTATGTATAGCGGTGGTCCCCAACGAGGCTGCGCTAAACAACCACTCCAGCTGCAACCTTGGAACACATGGTCAGCTTTGCCACGAAATGCCGCGGACTCCGGAAATGACGTTCTGTTGGAGGCCGTAAGGAATCCTCCTACTTCCTCTTATAACCGCAATGATGGCGGAACCCTGTTGAAGAACGATTGACTATCAAACCCCTACGTGACGGGATGACGTAGTGGCTAAGCTTAGTATAGAATGCCTAGAATAGTAGTCTGGCCGTGGCGGTGCCGGTTAAGTTTCCCCATTCAACAGATTTCAGGAGAAAGATGACGGACAGAGGACGTTAGAGGCTGACTGGATACTCCCCCTGAGGGAATTCTCAGTGTAAGATCTGACTGTCAGTCTTCCACGTTGTTATTTTTAACCGGACTGGTCTACCTGGAGGCTTAGCAGTCACTGTCGGGCACCGAAAAGAGACAGCGTGGAAAGACTTTTGCTAGTATGTTGATCGTTTTCTGACAGCATACCTGGATTGTATGGGCCAGTGAGTCGAGGAATGCTTTAAAGCCGCAAATTCCTCATACACAATCGATGATTTGAAATAAGAAAGGTGCGACCCATCATATTGACTTGGATTCACCTATAAAACTTGTAGTTATGAGATGTAGTTATTGTCAGTGTATTGATCTAGTTTTCTCGGCGAGCCCGAACTTTGCGGAGTGTACGTGGCAACCCCTAGAGACATCAGGATTAAATCTAGAAGATTTGCGGACATACTAGGCCCTGAGTTGGGATCAGAGATTTTGTAGTTATCTTTTATGGGTGATCCAAAGTAAGAACAAGTTGGTCCTCGTTTTGCGTACCTGAATCTCAAAAATTCTGGATATTGTAGGGGTAGTAGCGGCCCATTATCATGAGCCCGAGCCTTTTGGGGCTGACGATTGCATAGCATGCACCATGCTACATCAACAACCCAAGCTCTGTGACATCCATCCGATTCACCCGACGCTTAGAGCAGATGAAGTTGTCTGGCAACCAATCGCTGACCTTGCCTGGCGGAATACCAGCACATCCTTCGTGATTCATGTCATCTAGTCCCAAGACCATCAATCCCACAGCCACCCCACACAGCCAGGCAAGCACCATGCCTTCCCCGTTGAATCCAGCCGAGATCCATTCTGCAGCTGGCACGTTGGAGCGTCCAACTTGTCTGTTATTCCTCCGCAAAGGAACAACACGACCAGTAAGTCCTGGCTCTAGCTTCCCAACGAGGGGTAAAAGGTCGCATGTGAATCCCATACATCCCACCCACGCACTTTTGATGCGTGTACCACGTTTGTCTTCTCCCCAGCGCTCTCTGCCAAAGGTCACAGGCATGAGTCCGTCCAAGTAGGCGCTGATAGGTCCGCTCATCTGATCATCACGCCAGATTCCAAACTCATCAATGCCTTTGCTAGGGGACTGCACAACACCTCCACCAACCATGAGTTCACTCCCGATTCCAGCACGGTCGCCTGGTCGTTGGGTTACGTAATCGAATCCATGTTTCCCTATAATGGACCACGACCTGGAACCGTCGAGATGCGATAGCCCGCTTCCTGGGGTTTGAGCAGTCATGTGTCCCCGCATGGGGAAGAGCTTCCCAGTTGTCCCTGGGACGAGGTTCGCCGCAAAAGCGTCTGTAGCGTGGATGACATGGGATGCAGTGATTTTCCCGCGAGGCGTTGAAACCACGAACGGCATCTCATCATCCCGAACCTCAATACCTGTGGCCGGTGTGTTTGTCTCAATGTAGAATCGTGAGCCAAACTCTGACAAGAGCCGTGCATAGAGTGAGGTGACAAATCGATAAGGCCAAAGGGCACCCGCAGGATATTTGACTACCCCATAGCATTGCTCTCTATTCAGTTCAAATTTCTTGTTCAATAGTCAGCCTTATCCATCACAATGTCACCAAACATACCTCACAACCCTCATCAGCCTCAAAAAGCTCAATCTCCTCCCCAGCCTCCGGAACATCCTCTTTCAGTTCCTGTACCATCTTCTTTGTCTTCTCCCACATCCCTGCATCAGTAATGACGTCCAATGTCTCTACCTCCCTTGCCTCAGCCACCTTGAACCCATTCTCTTGCGCGAAGCCAACTAGCAAAGGTAACGCCTTCCTCTCGAACTCGAGTAGCTTTCGCGCGCACTCTTTCCCAAAACGACTCTTGGAAAGCGCGTAGTCCGAATACGAGGCACACTTGATATGTCCTCCATTCCTTCCCGTCGCACCGCTGCAGAGCTCTCGTGCTTCTAGCAGTACAATCTTAGGACCGACTTGGGGTTCAGCGCTGGCACTTTGAGTGAGGAGGGTATAGGCGATACTTGCACCGGAAATGCCTGATCCAATAATCACAATATCCGCCTGATCAGGCAGAGTGGGCGATTGGATGTCTACCAGCTCCGGGAACGGTGGTTGTTGCTGCCAGAAGGAGGTGCTGGGATTCTCAATGGGATAGATTGGGGCGGATATGCGCCCTAAGAGGGCGTGGAAGTCTGCATTTGCGTCCGCATAATCGGCTAGGAGGACGCGGATGCCGAGGTAGATGGTGCGTAGGGAAGAGAGGATGGCACCCATGGTTGGTTGGTGAGTTGATGTCGTATGGCATGGGAGAAAGTGGAGAGATAAAGCCCGATAACGATAAGCAGCGGTGGCGGTAGGAACTAACCGAAAGGGGGCAGGCTGGTCCCAATGTGTATTCAACATAGTGCTCACACCTGTTTACTTTTATTCTTCCTCATCTCAAGTCATCATTTTTCTACATGATGCTATATGTGCAGTACTGAATGTTGGAGATGTCACGGACTGTTTGTCAGCCACAGAAACTCTAACCGACTATAGAAGCACAAATAGATATCACAAATACCTCCCCGGACCGCTCCAAGCAAAACGTTGTCTAATCTAAGCACTCTCCTGAGCAACTTCGGCACCAGTCTCCTCCCACGTCTTCTCCGTCACAGCCCATGGTCCCACCGGTACCTTGTCCGTCCACTCTCCCCGTGGTGGCCTCCAGAGCAGAAGGATGGGCGGGGGAAGGCACTCGTGAACTAGCCTGTTCCACTCATCACTAGGGTTCTTCTTCGCAAAGTCAATATGGAGACAAAGAACCCTCTTGTACCCGCACTCTTCGTACAAGAAGCGACCCGTGGGGCTTCCCTCGATAAAACTCTCGTACCCAAGGGGATCGATCCTCTCATGACCCCACTCCATGAGAAGACGCCCTACCCCACGACGGCGGAAGTCCGGATGAACGCCCATGGCATTGACGCCTACCCACATTAGTACTCAATATGAGCCAAAAGTCACACACTTACCCGCATGAGGACGCTGAAACCAGCTTTGGCGCGGAAAGAAGGCCTGGCTGAGCATGTGGCTGGCGTACTCGGCTCTTTCGGAACCCTCGGGGTACCACGTGCAGGGAATGGGCTGAGGTCCGTTAGGAAACGGGTTCTTCCGGAAGATGAGCCATTCACAGCCGCCGGCAACCCGTCCAGTTTGCTTGTCGATTGCATAGATGAGATGGGAGGCCGGGTTCTTCTCGTGGGCGGCCCAGCGCACCTCACAGTCATACGCCTTGTCTTTCACTCGGTCTTCAGCCGTATGCCCCGAGACTGGATGGACCGCCGTCCATACTGCACTGTCGCGAGATAAAGTCAGTAAAGAGATCGGAGTGGGCGAGCGGGCTCTTACTTGTAGGGATGGGAGTTGGCCGACCAGAGGACGTCGACCAGACGGCGGTACTCCTCTTTTGTCAGGATCTCTTTAACTTCAAACTGAGAGTCAGACATGGTGCGATAGATGATTGAGAGAATTGATGACAGGGTGAGTGGGAAGCCTAATATATTAATTGCTGGAGGGGTTAAGACAGTGGCCCTGACAAGTGCTTATGTGCTAATGCATGATATCTTCGTCTAACCAGGCTACTAATTAGATCCCTGTCTGGTGTGCACGAATAAGGGAGGCGCTACACGCCCTTGGAGTGACACCGGCCATGCTAACAGACACCGGCGTCAGCATATACTCTCCACCTACCTTATAAGGAAATGGTTCCTTTTCGGACTAGTAAAACTTTCACTACTTTTGTGGCATCTATTCTTGAGCCTGACGTTGGAGTCTCAGGTCATACATGTATACCCCAAGCTGTGAAATACATATTTTGTATTTACAATTCCCTTCATGATGGCCTTCAAGTATGTGATTCAGGGCTATGCGGGGCCCTACAGCAACCTCCGGGTGACTTTTTGTGGGGCGCTCCGGGCTGTGTATCGCCTCCCGCGAGTTAAGCCGACTTGATCTAAGCCTTTATCGTCGGCCCACGATTGTAATCCCTACGTGCAAAATCAATGCCATTCACAATGCCCGGCGCCAGATGATTCTCTGGCAACCAACAACCAAAGCACATCTGAAAGCGAGACACTGACGGAGTACTCCAATCTGCAGGACTCTCATGAACTTGATATTGACTGTAGTGGATGAGCAAGTATCCGGCGCTAACAAGTTATCTCGAAAGCGACTTGCACTCACGGATTTTGCTAAATGTACTAGATCAAGATACCCATACTTCGTGAGGGTCACTATCTAAGCTTGAGCCTGGTAGCGAGCCGTGGTGGTAGTCGTGGTATCCCTACTAGCTTGACTCACCCATCATCCCCTACCGTCTGGAAACCTAGTGGACGATAGTCAGAAACATGATCTTATAGTCACTTGTCTATTGTCCCAGGGACTCGATCCAAGCTCAGTAACTGTATATCTAGGGTGATTCTCCAAGTCAACAACTGGGCGGGATCGAGATCACGTGATTGTCGACGGGATTGTTCCGAGTGAGGCCATTCATCGCAGCTCTTTACCCCCTCACCCCGCGCTCGTCTTTCATACCCCCAGTGTGGGAGATTATCTGAGGTTTGCTAAAATGGCAGAATCAAGCAGGTGAGCGAGGATAGTGCCTTGTGACACAATGGCCCCGCTAACTCGGTTGAGATCGTTATCAGCATGTCTACGCTGCCGCAGGAAGAAGCTCAAATGCGGGGGACCTAATCAAAACCCATGCCAAAGATGCCGAGCTAGCAGGTCAGAGTGTGTATTTGTTTCTCCCAAGCCCATCCGGGGCAGTCATAGTGCTTCAACCTCGGGACCAGATGGTAATCTCAGGTAAGATTGCTTCTGCCGCTTCCCGTGAAATGCTCATTGTTTAGCGAGAAGCTCGTACTCCTGGAGCAAAGATTCGAGGCCATGGAAGCACGCCATGAGGCTCAAATGCAGCAGATGCAGAACACATTGGCCCAGTTGGCCGCGCTGCAGCCAGTACCACAGCCCACTGTGACTCAGTCGGAACCACTCTGTGCAGGCGATATAGTCGCGCGCGGCATCGTGAGTGAAAGCGAATGGGAGGAGCTCTATGACTTGTAGGTGGATGATATGATTTTCTTCCTGCTTTGTAGGTTAACAGTTTTTTCTAGCTTCTACGAAAATTGCAGAACTGTGGTGGGTTTCATGGATGATCAGATTTACCATCCCAAAGGACTTGTTAGGCAGCATCCCCTGATGTCCACAGTGATTTGCGCCGTCGCTGCCCGAGCGATCAAGCCCGAAAAATACCAGAGCTACTTAGCTGAAGCCGATGAGCTGGTGAAGAATACATTTGTCGGTCCAAGTCCCGATATTCAGGCCGTCAGGGCAATGATGCTTCTGGGTGCATTGGCCGGTCGGTCTCGGCTTTGGGGTTACGTGGCATCCCTGGCTGCAGAACTAGGACTCAACACGGCCGCCTTAAAGTTGGGTGAAGACGATACCGAGCACACATTCAGTCTTGTTGAACGAGCAAGAACATGGTTTACATTGTGCTGCTTTGATCTGACGTACGATATCTGCACCTGCCCCAGGATTAGGGACTTGCAGCTAATATTGTTACACACAAGGATGCACCTGAACCGACCGTTTGTTATCAACAGAATGAGAGAATATCTCCCCTTTGCTAAGAAATTACTCGCATCCCCGTATTGTCGGCCAGTCGACCATCGAATTTGCGCCTACATCGTGGGTTTCACCACCCCTGGTAGGTTGATACTGTATCACTATTCCGTGGCTTTGGCTGATCGACTTCGATGCAATTAGCCGACGCAAAGACACGACTTACCAAAGCCCAGCTTCAATTGAATCCTCTCGGAGCGGCGCAAACAGACCTCTTGACATCGTTTGATCGGAGCATTGACGAATGGTTCTACAGGATCAACAATATCATTGAACCCCAGTACCAGACTTTTTCTGACAAGCAGGACCGAAACAGGTTTATAATCCCGTATACATTTATGAAAATGTATGCAAATGCACTATCGAAGCGAGACACCAAGTCCTTTCTGACTGATCATTGCTTGAATAGGTACATCAATGGGTTTGCCTTACATGGGCTAGAACCAGCCGAACGTCCAGATCCCAACCGATTAGTATTCATACAAAAAGCACTGAAGCATGCCACTCTTCTAATACGGAGCCAATTCGAGTCTGATAAAATTCGTCGTCAATTCCAATACACAATAGTACGAGTTCTTCTTTGAAGACTTAGTCGCTTATCCGTCTGACTGTGCTGCTGCAGGACTATCACGGCTCCTCAACCTACCAGGCAATCAGCTTTATACTCAAGGCTATACCCGCAACTCATCAGTACCTTCAATGCGGAGACTCAATAAGAGCACTCCACCAGGCTGCTCAGATGTTCCAGGAAGCAGGTGCTACAGAGGCTGCGCGAGATATTCAACGGGAACAGAAGAAGATGGCCTTGCTCACGCAGACGGTCGTGTCCCCTAGCGGGGCTGCCGTCGACTTGGCAACAGCCGATGGAGGAAGGAACACTGATATACCGACTTCTCTGGACACTGCTGTAAGTGAATGTTCAGTAAGTAAACGTGACATACTGGAACTGATACTCGACTAATCAGACGTGGTATGAACCTTTTCCGATGCTTGGTTTGTTTGCACTTGACTAGGTCTACCTTTGCGGCCGTATGCATTAATTAGCCTGTCTACATATGCAACTTCAAGTCAAAGGGTGTATTTCTAGCCCTGCAGTATTGCCAGCCTTGCCGGCGGCGGCACGCCCGTCGTCGGCATCGAGATCGAGCCCAGCGAAGCCATGCTGGTAGTGAGTGGACTATCGAACACGGCAGGCAGATTGCAAAGGGTCACGGAGCCAATCATGGCAACGGCCAACAGCTTCTGTCCATTGAAGATGTCTGTCTCCAAACTTCAGTCCATTGAGTACTGGATCATGTGGAGATAGATTCCAGGCTTGGCCTATCTGCCTAGAGAGACTGACAAAGCTTGAGCACAAGAACATCAAGGTTGAATTTATTCTTACCGTAGACTAATAATAGCCCCGCCAGCCGAGCGAACGAACTTCCCGCACCTAAGCCACACAAAGCTAGTTTACCACTCCCCGCCATGGCTCCACTCCGCGGTCCGTCCAGATAGGCTCACAAACCGGTACAGATAAATAATGCCAAAAAAAAAGAAGCACCCCATCACAGACTCAAAAAGTGAACGACCGAGGCGTGACTCGAACACGCAACCACTAGTACCGGAAACTAGCATTCTACCATTGAACTACCCGGCCGGGATTGATGTCATGGGTTTGGATAGTAAATATATGAAATTGTGTTGGATGTACTTGGAGTTAAGGGTTTCTTTGGAGGGGTTCCGTGGTTTGGTGCGAACTTTAGTTGGTGTCGTGCTGTTGGGAGGAAGGATGAATGATATTGGTTGGGGTTGGGGTTCAAGGTACAGAAAAACAAACCTCTCGCCAGTGAGGATGTGCTTTTCTTGATTTTTCCACGATTTTGGTATTGCTTGGTGGGTTCAATGGGGTAAGTATATATAAAATTTAGATGGAACGTTCATTGAGACAGAATACGTTGTCTGGGGACTTGGTACTAAAGGGATCCATATCCATGATTCGTGAGTTTACGGTGGAAATAGAACAGGGCCGAAGGAACTCTATCCAGCTAGATGATTAGATATCCTATCTTCATAGTCTAGACCCTCGAAGGCGGCGGAATGAAAGGGAGAGGGCGTTTCTGTTGTCACCGCAAGAGAAATTTAGCCATTGAGGAAATCGAAGAGCATCATCTATGTTCTGGTCATGGGTATATCTTAGGCTAGGGATTGGTTGGAGAGGACCTCTACCTAGCTTAAATAGGGCAGATCGATTAGTGTTATCTTTGTGGGAAGGATGACTAGGAGGTAGCAACTAGTGCTAATACGTAGTAAGTTGAACAAGAAGCCTCGATCCGTAGAAAAGGAAGACAGCTAGAATATTTACCCCACCAGCTCGTAGTACCCAAATAACAAACAGTCTAGATAGGGATGGGATATTCAACCCATCGTGGGAAATATTTGTGAATATTCTCCTTACTGGATATTCTAGTCAAGTTTATTCTACTTCTACATCTGCTCTCCAGGACTACAGCAAACCACTCTTGGGACGATGGCCATTCCTTGGATGTCCAGTCTTCCTCGCTGCAGTATAGCTCACTGCTAAAGAGTAGGTGACAAGGTCAAGAGGGGCTCAGCGCTATACCTAAATCAGACTACGGGTAACGATGAGTGACCGCCGTATCGGCCCTGTATAGCCCCGTGACGGACCCCGCCAGCCCGACTTGCCGATGGGCGTGATCACCCTCTTTGTCTCGTCAAGATAGGTTCAGCCACAGCAGGGGTAAATTTTCCAGCTCCATTCCGTCGTCCGCCTGTGTTTCGCTAGTGCTTACCTGTCGGTCTAGATGTGCCCATGTTGACCTATCAAACCCCCGCCATTATTCGTTCTCCCGACAGCTGTCGCGGTTGCCACCAGGCTGCCTGCTCGATCCGGCAACGAACGCAATGCTCCGCGAATAGCCCCGGAAACCGAGGCACCCAGCGTGTGATGGATACACAATAGTGCAGGGTATGACGTTCTGGGTGCAGCCAGATCCATGCACCATCGGGCAGACAGCATGGATCTTCCCCCCGACCATAAAGTTTCGAGGGGTCTTAAAGACCCCTCCTTCGACACGTTGGCCATTCTCGTTTATTTTCTCAAGCCGACCGCCAGGTAGTACTTGAATCGTTGCGATTACCCGACGTAAATTCTAAGAGTTGTGTTACCGAAGAAGCCTTTGTGAGCAGAGTGGACCTGTCGCACCATGAGCGAGGTACAGCCAGTTCCGATCCCGGGGCCCAAGGGCGTTCCTCTCCTGGGGAACATCTACGATGTCGAGCAGGAACAGCCCACGCGGAGCTTTGAGCAGCTTGTCGACCAATATGGTATTTTTCCTCTTGCCATTTCTATTTCGTCGCTCCCCCTGACTATACCTCACTTATATGGGAATCCGGCTAATTTGGCTATCCTTGACAAGGTCCAATCTTCCGTCTCAATATCTATGGCCAGTCAAGGGTGTTTGTCAGTAGTCAAGAGCTGGCCAATGAAGTCTGCAATGAGGAGCGGTTTGCTAAGAACGTGGACGGCGGCTTGGATCAGGTTCGGCATCTCACCCACGATGGCTTGTTCACGGCCAAATACCCCGGCGAAGAGAATTGGGCGCTTGCACATCGCATCCTAGTTCCTGCTTTTGGGCCTCTGTCGATTAGAGCCATGTTTGATGGTAAGAATGCTTCATCTCCAGACCCATCAGGTTAGATGCTGACTCACTATAGAAATGCACGACATTGCCACTCAGCTTGTCATGAAATGGGCCCGACAGGGACCCGAGACACCCATCAATGTCACGGAAGATTTTACTCGCCTCACACTCGATTCAATTGCTCTTTGTGCGATGGGCTCCAGGTTTAACTCTTTCTACCATGATACAATGCATCCCTTCGTGGCAGCAATGCTCGGCACGTTGCAGGTGGCCAGCCATCGGTCACAGCGACCGGCTTTGCTGAACCAGCTCCCCACAAGCGAGAACAATTCGTTCTGGAACGATATTGCCTACCTGAGGAATCTAGCAAGAGAAATGGCCGACGAAAGGAGGAAGAACCCATCGGACAAGAAAGACTTGCTCAATGCTCTCGTCCTAGGCCGGGACCCCCAGTCCGGAAAAGGCCTCAGTGAGGACTCCATCATCGACAACATGATCACCTTTTTGATTGCCGGTATGTTTGGACTGTGCGTTGGCTGTATGAGATAATCCTCTTACTCTTCCCTAGGTCATGAAACAACTTCCGGAATGCTATCTTTTGTCTTCTATTACTTGCTCAAAAACGCACACGCATACAAAAAAGCACAGGAAGAAGTGGACCGGGTGATTGGGCGACGGAAGATCACCGTCGATGACCTCTCCAAGTTACCGTATATCAATGCGGTCATGCGAGAGTCGTTGCGCCTCAGACCGACAGCTGGTATCCTTAGACTCCACGCACATCCAATCAAGAATACCGAAGACCCCGTAACCTTGGGGAATGGAAAATATGTCTTGAATAAGGGCGAACCCATCACTATTCTTCTCAGTAAATTGCATCGCGATCCCAAAGTCTATGGTTCAGACGCCGAAGAGTTCAAACCGGAGCGCATGCTTGACGAAAACTTCAACAAGCTCCCCCCAAATTCGTGGAAGCCGTTTGGCAATGGGATGCGAGGATGCATTGGACGTCCATTTGCCTGGCAAGAAGGATTACTGGCAATCGCAATGCTGTTGCAGAACTTCAACTTCCAGCTGGATGACCCAAGCTATGACCTGCGGATCAAACAGACGCTTACCATCAAGCCGAAGGATTTCAAGATGAGGGCAACTCTACGCCATGGGTTGGATCCGATAACATTGGAGGCAGCTCTGAACAGTGGCTCTGTGCCTCGCGAGACTACACTGCCTAGCAGAGACCGCAAGAAAGGCGCAACCGTTCCGGCCGGAGCTTTGAAGCCGATGCACATTTTCTTTGGCAGCAATACTGGAACCTGCGAGGCGTTTGCTCGAAGGATGGCGGATGATGCTGCGGCATGGGGGTTTGCCGCAGAGGTCAAGTCGCTGGATTCCGCCACCGAGAATGTCCCGAAAGGGGATCCTGTGGTGTTCATTGCGGCCTCATACGAAGGCCAACCTGCTGACAATGCAGCCCACTTTTTCGAGTGGCTTAGTGCCGTCAAGGGAAATGAGTTCGAGGGGGTTAATTATGCCGCATTCGGTTGCGGTCATCGTAAGTACTCATTGCCAATTGCGTGTTTCGCATGACCATTCGGCTCACCATGGTGTCTAGACGACTGGAACGCCACCTTCTACCGGGTCCCCAAAGCTATCAATGAACTGGTGAACGAGCATGGCGGCAATCGCTTGTGTGACATTGGATTGGTCGATACCGCCCAATCAGACATGTTCACTGATTTCGATAACTGGAGCGAGTCATCGCTGTGGCCTGCTATATCTGCCAAGTTCTCAGTCCAGGCCAACAAAAAGGCCAGCTCTGGCTTGCAGGTCGAGGTGAGCTCCGAAAGACGAGTATCAAACTTGGGTCTTCAGTTGCAGGAGGGATATGTTATCGAGAATCAGCTCCTGACGGCACCTGATGTCCCCGCAAAACGGCTGGTGAGATTCAAGCTTCCCACCGACACGACCTACCAGTGCGGCGATTACCTTGCCGTGCTGCCCGTGAACCCCACGACTGTTGTGCGTCGAGCAATGCGTCGGTTTAATCTGCCCTGGGATGCTGTTTTGACTGCCCGAAAGCCTTCTCAGGCTCAAACGCGGTCGACCATCCCACTCGACCATCCGATTTCCGCATTTGGTCTCCTGTCATCCTACGTCGAACTCTCCCAGCCCGCATCCAAGCGCGACCTGCTCGCCCTGGCGGACGCAGCCGTCATTGACGAAGAAGTCCAAGCTGAGCTGCGCTACACAGCCAACAGTCCTAGCCGCTTCGCTGCCGAGATCGTCGCGAAACGCCTCAGCGTACTCGACGTCCTGGACCGGTATTCCTCCATCAACCTCTCCCTGGGCGACTTTCTAGCCATGCTTCCTCCCATGCGAGTCCGCCAATACTCCATCTCCTCCTCCCCATTGACTGATCCCACCGAATGCTCGATTACTGTCTCGGTGCTTAGCGGCCCCTCCCTCTCCGGAACAGACGACGCCTACATGGGCGTAGCATCCACCTATCTCTCCGTTCTCCAGCCCGGCGACCGCACCCACATCGCCGTCCGCCCATCCCACTCCGGCTTCAAGCCCCCAACCGACCTCAACACACCCATGATCATGGCTAGCGCGGGTAGCGGTCTTGGTCCATTCCGCGGATTCATCATGGACCGCGCGGAAAAGATCCTCGGCCGAAGCGAGTCCATTGTCGAAAAGCCCGCAAAAGCGATCCTCTACGCGGGTTGTCGCACCAAAGGCAAGGATGACATCCACGCCGCTGAGCTGGAGGAATGGTCCCGTCAGGGTATCGTAGATGTCCGGTGGGCGTATAGTCGCCCATCTGATGGATCTGCCGCCCAGCATATCCAGGACCGCATCGCAAGTGATCGTGACGAGCTGGTCGAACTCTTCGAACAAGGCGCGAGAATCTACGTCTGTGGCAGCACGGAAGTGGGAAACGCGGTAGGTGGTGCGTTCAAGAACATCTTCCTAGATGTACGGAAGAAGCGTCGGGAGGAGGCCCTGGCACAGGGCAGGGAAGATGTTCCGCCGGAAGGGAGTGATGCCGAAGTGGAGAAGTTCTTTGATGGACTCAAGGCGAATATGCGGTATGCTACGGATGTGTTTACTTAGTGTGCTTTCCATATCTATTGATCCGTCTTGTTCGGCCTAGTTATACCTGATATAGTCAGCGAAATGATATGCCTCATCCAGTAATGTGTACACCAGAGCATCAAGAAAGGTACATGGGAACCAAGGGCCGAGAGACTTTGTAGCAAATTTCATTCCTGTAATGAGTGACTTTAATAACTAACGTATAAAAACAGATCCAGATATCTCTCAACTGAAATATCCCAGATATTTCATATAAGTAACTCATCGACAAAACAGACAAACTGATAATAGCATAATGACATAAATCAACCAGATTGTTGACCGCCGGGGTCCAACTCAACTTGACTCATCTCAACTCAACACATCTCATATCTTCATTCTGTCCAGCACAGCTTAACATCCATTCCATTGTATATTCATCTCCATCTGTCCATCGAGAAGATCGTTGATCCAGTCAAATCAATACTTCTGAGTGATCCAGATGGGAACTAGACAGACTAGTTATCTTCTAAGACAAAGAAGACGCGGCGGTAGGCACGGCACTCGGCACGGCGCTGCTGGTCGGGATGGCCGAGCTGGATGAAGGAGCGGGGATGTTAGGGGAGCCTGGGAAAGCTGCCGCCGGGGTGGGCAGACTGAGAGAGGGCTCGGAGTCGCTGGCATCGGAGGAAGAGCTGCTGCTGTCGCTGCTGCTGCTGCCGCCGCTGGGTTCAGGAAGGCTGATGCTGGGGAGGCTGCCGCTGGGTTGAGCCGGGCTGGAGGACTCATCGGGCGATGAAGAGGATTCGCCAAAGGGGTTGCCAGATGGCTGGCTGGGAGGAGCACCGGAAGAGTCGCCAAGGCTGCCGCTGGGCTGAGGGGAGCTGGACGAGTCATCGGAAGACAAAGAGCCACCACCGAGGAAGGGCTTCAGGAAATCGGGCACGCCACCAAGAGCACCGCCGCTGGAGGGCTTAGACGAGCTAGAAGGACCGCTAGAAGATTGAGAAGAGCCGCCCCCGAGCGAGCCAAGGAAGTCGGAAAGCCCGCCAGAAGAGCTACCGCTGGAGGGCTCAGCAGAGCCAGAAGAACCGCTGGAGGAGCCCCCGAGCGAGCCAAGAAAGTCAGGAAGGCCACCAGAGCCACCACTGGAGGGCTGAGCAGAGCTAGAAGAATCGCTAGAAGAGCCACCGAGAGAGCCAAGAAGGCCAGGGAATCCTCCAGAAGAGCTGCCACTGGAGGGCTCAGACGAGCTAGAAGAATCGCTGGAAGAGCCTCCGAGTGAGCCAAGAAAGTCTGGAAGCCCGCCAGAAGAGCTCGACGAATCACCGGAGGAACCGCCACCCAGGCTGGGCAGGCTGGAGCCAGAGAAACCTCCAGAGGGACCACCGGAGGGACCACCGGGGGAACCTCCCGGGCCACCACCGCCAAATTGGCGCTTCGTGGAAGACAGTCCAGTAGGAAGAGTGATGCCCAGTTCGGACAGATCGGGGAGACCCGAAGGCAGGAGCTCAGACAGCCCCTTTGAATCTTTAGGAAGAGTGGTGCCAGAAGGGAGGGAAAAAGGCAAGTCCCGGCGGGTTTTCAGCAGGCTGGACAGATCCGTTGGCAGTGAGAGGCTGGGCAGGCCCGAAGGAAGGGAGAGGCCAGATGGGAGAGAGAATCCAAGGAGGTCGGAGAGGTCTTCTCTCTTCTCCACCGGGGTAGGCAAGGCCAGGGCACAGCCCGCGAGACCAAGAGAAGCAACGTTATGAAACTTCATTGTCGAATATCAAGAGACTTGCAGGTGTTGTAAGAGGAATGCAATGATCGAAGGGTTCCAAATGCCAGATTTGAAGGAAAGGAAGTACGGAGCCTGGGATCAAAGGCAGCCAGGAAAGGGACTACGAGGTTCTTTATATATGATGACTTTGAGGTGATATCGGTAGGAGAGGAGTTCGACAATCCCGAGAACGGAAATCAGATGAGATCATCGACGATCAGGCATGCTTGCGAGGGATTGTACACGCGTTCCAAATGATGCAAGACATGGTTACTGTGATACAACCAAGCAGCGCAGGGAAGTTTGGCTCCGGGGTCGAGCCAAGTTGCCCAAGTGGCAGCTTGTTTAGATGTTAACCATAACTGCCGTGATCTGACCCTGGCGAAACACTGGTAATCTCGGGATCTTGGTCCAACTAGGAATTGATCGATGGGCCCAAAAATGAGGCCGTACCCTTAGCCACGGATCAGTACGACACCCTACCATGGCATCACCGCTGGGCTCCAGACCAGTCCGTCAATGGCTCTCCGTATCCTCCGTGCCGGAAAAGAGGGTCCCAGGCCCGGTCGATATAAGCGTGGCGTCCCTGGACTGGCCGTGGAACCCTCAATCCCATAGATCGCTACCCGCCAATCAGAGTGGAGAATTGCAGGGCGCCCCTGATCCACGTTTCGAGCATCAAGGGCACTGATCAGTGCAGAGGCATATTGTTGCTCGCTGCATCCGCTCGACCTGTAGTACAGGGGCTGACAGCCTACCGGGATTTGTCGGATATAGCCATAGGCACCGAGTATTACCAGAAGAGGCCAGCCGAGAGCATCAGCCGGATGAAAAATCCAAGGCGGGGGCCACTGGCCATGTGTCTCGAGTGGTCTATTGGGCCTATAGTAACCGAGCCGACCCGGACCCTGTCAGCCGTTGTACACGAGATATGGAGAAGCCGGGATGGAGGCTGACCCGCAATTTCTGATGAGACACTCAATCCGAGGCACGATTTCCTTCCGTCTCTTCTGGAAACCCGGCCTTGATGCGGAGACCCAAAAAGCAGAACAAGCGGGAAAGAATGAAGCCGGGTGAATCAGCGGATTCCACAACCGCCGGCCGCCACGTGACTCGACATCGCTGTCTTGGTGCCTGGGGCACACCTTGTTTCTTCACTTCTCGTTGTTGTTGAACTGCTCCTTCATTCTACCACCCAGATGCGATGACTCGGTGCACGCACGGCCGTGCATCAACGCTCTGAAACATCACAAGGATGGCCATCAATTACTTTCAGACTCACTATGGGCCCGCTCCTCTTACCATAACTATTCCAGACTGACCTAAAGATGGGCCGATTACACACGGAGCGTTGTTCAATTACCCTTGTTGTCTAGACACCTGCCAGTGAAGAAGGCATGAAACATAACTGAGTCAGGCAATGCCTCAGAGCCGACCAACATCATCGAGCCGAAAGAACAATGACTTCTCTCTGCCAACGGATTTATCTGGTGCCAGAAAAATGGCTCAATCCAAGTTGATATGATACACTTTTTCATCACATCATCAACGTTGTTAATATGAATGCGACTAACATTGTTGCAAACAGCAGATTCAGGGCCAAGACATGTTTCACATAGCCTGTGACTCATTAGAGCAGCCAACTACAGGATGGAAGAGCATAGGGGTAACTGACTCATCAGAGAATGGCCATCCCAAAGATATCCTCAAGGTACTGAAAGCTGGCGCAAGTACATTATCCAGCTTTGCCTCGGCTCGTTGCATCCTGTTCCCTTTCGGCCCATGATATGAGATGCCTATCTCATCCTAATTAAGCCTCGTATAGCACATTGCCCATGTGGATGGCAGAACTCAAGCCAGTACACTCTTTCAGTAGCGATGGTTGTTGTACCAGTCCATGTCGCATTGAGAAGATCGGATCTCTATGAACAGAGAGACTTTGGCAGTTACTGCCCCGGGATCTATCAATATCCCTCCAATTTGAAACACCTCCTCGCATCATACTGTTAACGACGCATGAGGAATTGTGGCTAGCTTCCACACAAGGAAGTGATGCACAAGGTATTCATTCTGGAATCTTCGGATGAACCTTGCTCGTTGACAAGTGCTCTAAAGGCAGCAAAATCAAACTTTAGTCGTGTCATTGCTCATAAAGTTTCACTGAAAGCAATCCGGCAACGCTCAGGTCCCAATTTTGAGCGCCGGGAGATGACGAAGCCTACGGATGTTTCAGATACATAGAGTGAGGATCATCCTCCCGTGCAGGGATCCATCAACCTTGATGGTGCTGTCATCTAATCAGAGACCATGCTATGTGTCAATGCCGCGTGGTGGGAGGTGATCTTCTTCGGCCCTACTTACCCTTACCAACACCGCGGGATGGATCAACCATAGTATGATATCAGACGAGCCCTCTTCGGATAAGACATTACCCTAACAACAGCCCGGATAATAAGCCGTCATTGAGCCATTATCAACCTTTTGCGCAGATGGTTGATCCTCGACATTTTCAGGACATTGCATCTTCAAACCAGGACTGCGCGGTTGGCCTTGGAATATGGCTCTTAACGCAATCAATATGAAGTGCCACCCGCGATTCGTGCCATACAGATGACCACAAGCAATCAACGGAAACATGGCACAGAAGAGAGCCATGTGTCTGATATTTATTTGCTATTCTGGTGTCCCCGTTCAATGTTCTGAGATACCGCTCGTTTGGCAACCAAGCCCATTGTTCCTGCTCTGCAGCACCATCAGAGATCAATGAGGATGGATTGATTTCGACAACACTGCACAGTCAACAATCTCGACCTTGCGGTAGATGGAGCGGGCTATTTTTAGGGCCACTGCCCGCAACCCGCATGAGGCTATCCCCGTTCTAGTCCGGTGCAGGAAAAACTGGTTGCCCCGCGCCGCAGCTGACTCAAATTAATATAAACCAATGCACGCGCTGACATGGTCACCCTCATCTACCTTCAATTCTAACCATTTCAAGTCCAGACGTCAGGAGCCAACTCTCCGTTTCCCTGTGTATACTAATAAAGTCAATTAGAATCGTCATCTAGTTTATACCGCATCGCCATGACCCCAATAGTGGGTCGTCTCCCTTTGCGCCCCAAGCTCATAAGAGGTCTCCTTCCTAGCCATGGACACCATGCAGTTGTCTACTTTTCAACCCGCCGAGCTCTACTGCTCAACAAGGAGTCCTCTTCAAGAGACGCCCAAGGAAACAAAAACGAGGCCAAATATTGGAAGTATGATTTCAGCTTCCGAACTCAAATGGAGAAGATCGTCTTGATTGGGGCTCTGGCCTTGATTGGTTCTGCGGGACCCTGGTCATGGTATCGGGATATTCGCCACTGGTGGAAAGGAATTCCTGATGATGGGGATGAATAAAGGCCATGTGCTATATCGCTGTGTTCTCCCAATGATGTCTGTTCTACAATTGAACTGGTCCAGTTACATCTTCCTTGTATGCCACTTTTGTTAGCAATGGGCCATTGATCGTACTGTCTATCTACAGTCTACGAGCGAACATCGGTAGACCGCAACTCTGTTGATGCTGGTATCCGTGCCTGGCTGGATTGCATGGGCTTGACACAGTTGAGGCTGTTGGAGGGTCATGGCACCATCTTAATTTCCCCTTTAGATACCGGAAAGACCTATGTAAGTGTATAGCCATGGTTCTCACTCAGTACAGTAAGGTAAACCGCCTACTGGATTCTGCTGCCCCTTCTATCAAGCAATATCCGATCCCAAAGCAAGAAGAAAACCTAGGTGCATGAATTAATACCTGGTGGGCGTGCCGTATCTGACTTGACTCTATTTATTGTTGTTGCGCTCTTAGCTAAAAAAGATAGGTTACAGCAGAAAAAAAAAATAAAAACAAATGGTAAGACTGGGGTTCGAACCCAGGAGACTCTCGTCAGATGGGATTGAAGTGTACGATTGTACCACTTAAGCCAGCCGCCTTAACCACTCGGCCATCTTACCCTTCAAATTAATTTGGTCCGTAGGCAGCGCTATAGCCTAATGACTGATTACACTTATCCATTTGAGACTATGAATCCGCGGTCGGTAGGAAGCTATTGAAGAGCTACCACATCAGCCAGGTAGCTGAGAGGTCGATTCCATGATTCTGAAAGTGCATTGACTCGTCTTTTTAGAAGGCTGTTATTGACACTTCCATTCCCAGAGAATTGATCTCGGGCATATCATTATCGAGACAGGAGCTGAGATGTTCATGGCTACTACGTTGGATGGACATCGTCCACCTTCCTTGGTTGTCACCATATTTCTAAGCTGTATCTAATGACCAACGCTAATAAGGGTATGTATAATGTCATGCGTCGGTGCTATCATTATAATTTCTCAAACAAAGACTAAGCTCTCTTCTAGGCTAATTTGTCTTACTGCCTGTGGCCCCGTTTGGTAACTCAGCTAAATCGAATCTGTCGTTATCATACAATAGCATGTTTCTTGTCGTGTTAGGGCTCGCGAAGGCGTACAAAGAATCTCACGGGATATCTAGTTCTATCACAGTGTTGGCTTTAAAACTCGAGGCACATACCATCAGCATCTTATTAAATAGGAACACAAGATGAGAGCCTACATCTGCACGATTGACGGAAATGGAGGCATCAGTGTGCCATAACCTTCTATTGATGGTATAAACAGTTTAACAAACTTGTTTTGGCATCACGATTTGCCTCACTTACTCCTAAGTTCCACATGCTGGCCAAAGTGTTCGGATGCTTGAATTCCAGGATTTTCTCAAACTGCCCATTACTTGTACTTCGAGGTCACGTTCTTTGAGGTATCCTTGATTTTGGTATACTCTTTTCTGGTGGAGATTGTGTGCTTTTAATACTGGTACACGAATGTCAGGTAATGTTAGTAAGAACACTTTGGCGACTGTACTGTAGATCAGATGCAGGTTTCCGAGGCTTTGATTAGTATGGCCGCCCTGACTCCAGAACACAGTCAATGACAATGAAAGAAGACTAAAGAACTTGCAAAGCAAGTAACGAAACCTTTCAAGAATGTATTGAAAGATATGAGAGTGCGGAGCCTCCGAATAGTGGATCATGCTCCGGTTGACTGCTTTGAATGATAAGGCTTGCCATATTATCCAACCCTGTGGGGTAGGATAATCCAAACTGGGTTTCCCATAGTAGGTTTGGAGTACTTCAGCACACAGTGGTTGTATGAATGTATAACCTGTCAGGAACGTGTCAATGTGATTGGCTATTCTTATCAGAAGCGAGACGCCGCCCTCGGCAATCCAAGGCCACGCTGATTGGTAGAACCACGGGCAAAACCGAAATTGCGGCCATGGATCCACAGCAAACGCCGCATCTATCGGGCTATCAGCCAATCGTAGTGCTTATGCTACTGACTAATGTAAGTCACATGATGTTACAGCGAGATGCACCAGTCAGGGACGAGGATGCAGAAAAATTGAACAAAAGAGAATCTGAATATTCTCTCAGATTTGCAACCTCAGTAGGTATCTTTCACTAGTAAGCACCAGGCATAGAGTGTGAAATCAGCCGTTGTAAGTTTGTGTGCATGATATGGGCGGAATACTCATCCCTCCTGTTAGTGGTTTATGCTGACGCAATCGGCGCCATGGCTGGCATAAACATAGCTCGTCGATCAATCATTTAAGGACAACTTGGTCGCTGCCCGAGGAAGCTGTAATCACTCCCTGGCTTCTATAATCAACGACATAATGTCCCCCATTAAAAGCGTCGCTGTCATTGGCACCGGGCCCGCTGGTGCCATTGCGGTGGATGCCTTGATGCAGGAAAAGACATTTGACAGAGTCCGGGTGTTTGAGAGACAAGAAAAAGCCGGTGGATGTTGGTATGTCCGCTGCTTGGAGCAATCTGTCGTGACTCGCGATTAATCCGGGTAGGGTGTCGCGGGAGAACGAGAAACATGTGCCTCTTGATGTCGATAAGCTATCCGCCAGGACGGCCGATGCTCCCATCCCAATCCCGTCCGATCTGCCTGCATATACGCCTGCAGTGACCCAACATCGCTTTACTGACTCTCATATCTATCCGAACTTGCACACCAATGTCGATGCTTCAACAATGGAGTACTCCCAGGAGTCGATTCCGACCGTCCGCTCGGAGATGTCAATTGCTTTGCACGGACCAGACACCCCGTTCCGTCATCACACGGTCATCAGACAGTTCATCGAGGATCTGCTGAACCGAAACGGCTACCAGGATCTTGTAGAATACAACACGACCGTGGAACGTGCGGTCAAAGATGCCCAAAGTGGCAAATGGGTGCTGACCCTGCGGCGCGCGGGCAAGTCCGGTGCGCTTGATTACTGGTGGAGTGAGACGTTCGATGCACTGGTAGTCGCATCAGGACACTTTTCTGTGCCATATGTGCCTGCCATTCCAGGATTGAAAGAGTTCATCGAAAAGTACCCAGAGAATGTGTTGCACACGAAGCAGTATCGTGGTCCTGAACGCTATCGTGGCAAGGTACGGCCCATCCCTTCAAGCTAGACTGGCGCTAATAGCCACAGCGAGTTGTGACCATTGGAGCGTCAGTCTCTGCTGCAGACACCGCCGTCAGTCTGATCGGATCAGCCCAGTCACCCATCTATGCTGTGGTCCGTGGGCGGTATAACCCCTACTTTGGCGACTGGGCGTTCAGACACCCATCCATTGAGCGTCGACCACCGATTTCGAATATCTCCAGTGAAAACGGACAGCGGACGGTGTATTTCGAGGATGGAACCACGGTATCGGATGTAGACTATATCATCCTCGGCACCGGTTTCACCTGGGCATTGCCATACCTGCCGGAGATTCCGACCAGAAACAACCGCGTCCCTGACTTGTACCTGCATGTCTTCCACCAGAGGGACCCTTCTTTGGCATTCATAGGAGGTGTATGTACTGACTGTCGCTCACCTGGGACATCGAGCTAACGTTGCTAGGTTGGTGCTGGATTGACCTTCAAGATCTTCGAGTGGCAGGCCGTGGCTGCAGCCAGAGTGCTGGCTGGCAAAGCTCAATTACCATCCTTGGAGGAACAGCAGAAATGGGAGCGGGATAGAATTGAACAAAAGGGCGATGGACCGGCGTTCACCACGATCAACCCCGACTTCCAGGACTATTTTGAGACCCTGCGTCAGTTGGCGGGAGAGCCAAAGGAAGGCGAGGGGCGAGTGTTGCCTCCGTTCGAACAGGAGTGGATGGACGTGTTCAATGCTGGTCATGAGCGTCGGATTCGGATGTGGCAGAAGGCTAATGAGGCGGCCGCCAACAGTAGATTGTAGAGAGTTGGTGAGATGCCGGGTGTAGCATTTAGCCTAATAGACAGTCACATGCACCCGCCCCCTCCCCCCCGATTCACTTTCTCCTCTCCTCCTTCAATCATGCCACAGTAACTCCACCCCTCATGGAAGATCCTCCAATTCCTGGCAAAGCAAGCATCCCCCCAGCAGCCGGCAGTGCCGATCTGCACGCCAATGCAATGACCCTCGAATAAGTCCTCCAATCAACGCAATGCGCGTCTCGGTCTTAAGCTACGGAGTCGCAGCTAGTCTGAGAGATGATGGATCAGAATGCGCCTGAAATATAACCCCTCCCGCATCTTGGGGAGTCTGACATCAACCATCAAGTGCAGGATGTTTGTGTCGGGTCACTCTGCTGTCTTTGGTGCGCTGGTTTTGCCCCTCGCGGCGGCCAAGTCGTTATGGTCTGATTCTCCCGGCAATTACAGTAGTATCATCACTACTGCGTTTCCTTTAGGAAATGGACGACTGGGAGGTAGAGTGCCTGGAATGTTTGATACGATTGGATGCTGAATTGTCAAAGCCATGCCAATAGGCTCGTATGACAAGGAAATCGTCAATCTCAACGTCGACTCGTTGTGGCGTGGAGGCCCTTTTGAAAGTTCGGTGCGTGAGCTTACTCCATGTTGGAGGCATAACAGTACTGATAGTGCAGACGTATTCTGGTGGAAACCCGAATGTATCCAAAGCAGGAGCACTGCCTGGCATTAGGGAATGGATCTTTCAAAATGGAACCGGCAATGTCTCTGCCCTTCTGGGAGAGTTTCCCTACTATGGATCTTATCAGGTGTTGGCCAATTTGACCATCGACCTGAGTGAAGTGAGCAATGTTCATGGGTACCGTCGCAACCTGGACCTGGAAACGGCGGTCTACTCGGATCATTTCAGCACTGGGGAGGATTATATCGAAAGGTACGCTACTTGGCTAGATCGATCGGCGCTAATTGGCGTAGGGAAGCCTTCTGCTCGTATCCGGATAATGTGTGCGCTTATAGACTGAGCTCAAATTCCTCGCTGCCAGCGATTACATTCGGTCTGGAAAATCAACTCACGTCTCCTGCCCCGAATGTCAGCTGCCATGGGAATAGCATCAGCTTGTACGGCCAGACAGATACTTCGATCGGGATGATCTACAACGCTAGGGTGACTGTCGTTCTACCGGGGTCTCGAAACACCTCCGACCTCTGCTCGTCTTCTACTGTCAAAATTCCCGAGGGAGTAAAAGAAGTGTTCCTCGTGTTTGCTGCTGGGACCAACTATGACGCCGCCAATGGGAATGCGGAGGCGAAGTTTTCGTTCAAAGGGGAGGACCCGTATACGACGGTTCTCAAAACAGCCACCGATGCCGCAAAGAAATCCTATGCAGCACTCAAGTCATTCCACGTGAAGGATTTCCAAGATGTCTTTGGCCAGTTTACTTTAACCCTTCCAGATCCTAAGGGCTCAGCTGAGAAGCCGACCACCCAGCTTCTCTCATCCTATACCCAACCAGGGGATCCATACGTGGAGAACCTGCTCTTCGACTTTGGCCGCTATCTGTTCATCTCATCCTCGCGACCCGGATCGTTGCCACCCAACCTGCAAGGACTCTGGACCGAGTCGTACTCTCCGGCCTGGAGCGGTGACTACCATGCCAATATCAATCTACAGATGAACCACTGGGCTGTGGATCAAACCGGCCTCGGAGAACAGACAGAGCCCCTTTGGACATACATGGCCGAGACATGGTTGCCTCGAGGGGCTGAGACGGCCGAGTTGTTGTATGGGGCTTCTGAGGGTTGGGTAACGCACGATGAGATGAACACTTTTGGACATACAGCGTGAGTACATAGTCCTATTAAAGTCAGTACTGACATAGAATAGGATGAAGAACGTCGCACAGTGGGCCAATTACCCTGCCACCAATGCATGGATGTCGCATCATGTGTGGGATCATTTTGACTATTCTCAAGACGTTTCTTGGTACCGCAAGACAGGATACCCCATACTCAAGGGAGCAGCCCAATTCTGGTTATCCCAGCTTGTGCAAGACGAATACTTTAAAGACGGCAGCTTGGTTGTCAACCCCTGCAATTCGCCCGAGCATGGCCCGACGGTAAGATCCATAAAGCTACTCAACAAACACCACTGACTGTCTAGACCTTTGGCTGCACCCACTATCAACAACTCATCTGGGAAGTATTTGACCACGTTCTCCGCGGCTGGGAAGCATCAGGAGATGACGACACCTCGTTCAAATCCGCCATCTCCTCCAAATTCTCCATCCTAGACCCAGGCATCCATATTGGCTCGTGGGGTCAAATCCAAGAATGGAAGCTCGACATTGACGTTGAGAATGACACTCACCGTCATCTGTCCAACCTGTATGGCTGGTACCCCGGCTACGCTATTTCCTCGGTGCACGGATTCAACAAGACCGTCACCGATGCCGTCGAAACAACGTTGTATTCCCGCGGCACCGGTGTCGAGGACTCCAACACTGGCTGGGGCAAGGTGTGGCGTAGCGCCTGCTGGGGGCTTCTGAACAACACGGACGAAGCATACTCGGAGCTGTCGCTGGCGATCCAAAATAACTTTGCCGACAATGGCCTGGACATGTACGGGGGGACGCCGCCGTTCCAGATCGATGCGAACTTTGGTCTCGTGGGGGCAATGATTTCGATGCTCGTGAGGGACTTGGATCGTGCGGGTGCGAATGCTAGTGAGGCGCAGAGGGTACTTCTGGGACCAGCCATTCCGGCTGCATGGGGAGGGGGTAGCGTGGAGGGGCTGAGGCTGCGGGGTGATGGAGTGGTGGGTTTCCACTGGAATGACGATGGGGTTGTGGATTCGTGCCGGGTTGATACCTCTGGACGAAGTGCCTCACCGCTGGAGTTTTATGTCAGTGGGGGTGATGCTATTGATTGTTCGTAGTCAATACCTCCGACACATCATTCAGCTGTTGCAAGTACTTTAACTTATCCATCAGTGAAGAGATCTCTAACCCAACTAACATCATCATTGAATACTACTAGTCCTACTCGATCGCAAGTTCCTCTACCAACCTCAACCTGTATCTTTTCGCTACAATACCAATTCCTTATGAATTCATTGCTACTACTCCCTCCAAACGCCCAAAATTCCCAAAGAATAGTACTACAATTGCCCCACGCAGAGTGAACCTCTAGCCCACATCATCCACAAAGGAACCCCCAGTGAAGGCAAATTAAACATCCTCAACATCCACCGTAAGCAGAAATAACCCGTGGAAACAATCCACATTATCGGCTAATCAGCTGTCCATCTCAGTCGAGGATATGCCGAGTTATAACGGAGGACTTTTACTTTGTTGCTTAATGGAATAGAACATATCTTCTCTACTATTTATCTCTACGCAACTGAGAAAATCGTCCCGATATAATTTGACACACCTGCACCAGAAGACGGTAAGCAAGCCTGATTGCTACGCTCGACCGACCAAGAATCCGCTCGATATCATCTCCAGGGAATATGCACGTTTCTAGAATTCTTCGAGATTGCACGTGCCTTGTTATCTTCAGTGATGACAAGGGTTCTTATTGTCGAGGGAGCATAATGCGAGTGCTGGTTATGGCATAATGCATAGGTTTGGATGAGTATAGGATTCGTTTGTTGGGGTTATTTTTTCGCTATAGTTCCCGGGTATAAGATCTGCTCTATTTGTCATATCTGAATTATTCTTAGATGGTATAACTGACGAGAAAATCGTAGAATTGTTACTATGGATTCAGTAAGTTCAGCCAGATGATACCTGAGGTTATCTATACCTGGAGTAAGGCTGCACAGATATGAAAGAAGAACTGTTACCTCATTTGCTAGATAAGGGTAAGAAAGATCGTTATACAACTAATCATCCACAATATAAAGCATACTGACATTCCATCCTGGCGCTCCCTGGGTGTTTAACCATTCCTGTCCCCTCCCTTTCTCAGCCTTCTCTAACCTGGTAGGAGAGGGAGGGGGATTGATTTCTTTTGTTGATATTGTTGGGGGTGGTTGGTGTTTCTTGGGTAGATTAGAAGAGTATGTATGGGTTGCGTGGTTGATTGGGTGTATGGGTTTGTGTTCTTGTTAGAGGGAATTGGGATATTCAAATTGATAGTAATATATCTAGCGCCAAGAGTGCATATATCAATGCAAGGCTGGTTGGTGGTGATCTAGAGGGATTAACCGCACAACTAACACAACATATACTATGCATAATACGCCCAGTACAAATGCAGCATCCAGTCCTGACACATATTCCACACATAATCTGATTGGTTACGGGGTACTGTCCGGGGTACAGGTACTCTGTACTCCCCCCGCATTTATCCGTGATTTATCCATCTCGGCTATAGAGGAGGGGTTGATACAAGTCCCCTGGTTCCACAGATGAATACGCCCATCTTGTATGCTATGCTGTCTATGAATCAATCTATCGCTAATCTATCACACGGAGAATCTTTACCGAACTCCAGGATATAACCCGCTGTACATCATATCCCATATACAAACATACACAAAATGACCTTCACTGACAAGGTCTACGCCATCACAGGCCTCGCAGGCATTGGCCTCGCCGTGGCCCGTCAACTGCACGAGCAAGGCGCTCGTCTCTCGCTCGCCGATATCTCCGACGCAGCGCTTCAAAATGCACTGGCTCAGCTTCCGAACGCTAATACCGACAATACCCTCACCACGGTGGTGGATGTGGGCTCGGTCACGTCCGTCAATGACTGGATTGATGCCACGGTTCGTCATTTCGGCCGTCTCGATGGCGCTGCCAATATGGCCGGTGCGATTGGCAGCAAACACGGCACTGGGGCGTTGACGGAGCAGGATGATGCGGAGTGGGATATGTTGTTGAGAGTTAATCTGACTGGAACGATGTATTGTCTGCGGGCACAGATTAAGGCCATTCAAAACACGAGCCAGACGGGTAGCATTGTCAATGCGGCGAGCATCCAAGGCATCAGGGGCTTTGCGTTGCATGCTGCTTATTCGGCAACCAAGCATGGGGTTGTTGGTTTGACGAAGAGTGTGGCTAAGGAGGTGGGACCAGCCATCAGAGTGAATGCCGTGGCACCGTGAGTAGTCCTTGTCATTAAAGATTGGGGCTTTGTGCTGACAAGGATAGTGGGTCAATTCAGACGCCACTGTTGGACAAGGCGGTTGCGATCCAGGGAAAGCTGAACACCATGCCGACGGTGTTCCCTCGGGTGGGCACGGCGGATGAGGTGGCCCAGTCCGTGCTGTTCTTGCTCAGTGATGCCGCTTCGTATACCACTGGGGGGGTGTTGAGTGTGGACGGCGGATGGGACCCGTAATCCTGGTCCTGATCCTAGGGTCATCTGTCGGTAGTTGCTCCTAACCAACATGTTGGTTTCAAAATTGGCCCCATGTTGGATCCCGCAGGATCAATCTGCAAATGGCCCCATTCCTGTCACGCATACCCGGACGTCGACGCTATCAGGACAGCCACAGGAATGCGCCAATGACTTCAACTATGAGTTTCTGCTAGGAAAGTGGAGAAGGTCAAGCACATACACAGCATGGCTAGTGAATTTAGCGTAGGGTCCGGTCGAAGGATCCGGCCACTGCTTTCGCTCGATGTAGCGTTTTTGGTAGATTTACTAGTCCCCTTAGTTCCTGAAGTTCTGCGCGTCACTGCCATTGGCATGAACATACCCCTCGATGGCTTTTGGCCATCCATCTACGTAATGCAGATAGTTCCATCCCAGACGGGCATCCTGAGATTGTTAGTCAGGTTCATGCTGAGATGGACAGTACTTACTCCTTGTGCGAATCCAATTGAAGTGTTGACTGCAATGGGTTAGCATTCGCCAAGTATTGTGGATGCAACACATACGGTAATGGAAATAGAGAACATCTGCTTCGCTGCCAGTTCCAGACAGCACACCAACACCACCCGGAGCATAGACAACCCCGTGGTTCGACCCGTAGACAATGGTACCCCCTCCTTGGAGGGTTTCACGACCATCCTTGTCCACAAACGGGCCGGTCACATTCTTTGATCTGCCGACGCGGATGCTGTATCTGTACAATCGTCAGTATCAACTCATTCACAGAACTAGTGCACATACTCGTCTCCCATGGGTGGAAAATTGTGGACATTAAACTGGCAGCATTTGCCATGGCTGAACCAAAGATAGTAATACGGCGCCTTGTAGGTCATGAAGGATCCCTCGATGGGCTTGGTTTTGGCCGTTGGGACGTACGCCAGGTTGGTCGCGTCCGGTTTCTTTGGCGTTTTGATCGACAGGAGATGTTCGGCCAAAGGCACCGAGAAAATGCCATGCCAGTAGCTCCCATAAAGCAGACGAGGTTCTCCGGTCTTCTGATCTTTGATGAAGGCGCCATCAATCGCGTTGGAAACCGTGTAGGGATAGACATCAGACAGATCACCCTTGCCCGTGTTGACCACAGCGCCATGATCCGTCCAGTTTCCACCTTCGGGGGAATCAGAGGAAGCGACTCCAATCGCGCTATCGCGACTGCCAGACTCGCTGATCGCATAGAAGCAATAGAAACGGTTCTCCCATTCCACCGTCGTCGGAGCCCAAGGGCGTGTACGGTTCTGCTTGTCGATCACACTGGCCTCGTCGAGGACAGTACCGACTTCTTCCCATGGCCCATCCAGGGTGCGGGACTTGTGAATGGGGATGTGCACGCCGCCTTTAAACAGATAGAAATAGCCGTCATACTGGATGATGTTGGGGTCATGCGCGGCCACATTGCCCAGGTTGGGCAGAGGATATTCGGTGGTTTTGGAAAAGGAATGGGTGTCAATGCCCGCGGATGCGCTCGGCGTGGGAGCTGTCGGAATGGCGCTCACTGCATATAGCAGGAAGCATAGAATGGAGATGGCGTTTTGCCACATAGTGCAGGATATCAGATGATGTCAAAAGAGTGGCACGGGGAAAGCCCTTAGAAAGTCACAATGCTAACAAAAATTGTGCGTAAATGACAAAGGGGCGGGCGGGCGTCCGGGGACCTCATGAGGATATATGCCAGGCAATGATTGAGGGTTAAGCGAATTGGGGCCGAATTGATCCCGCCCCCATGAGGAACAATCACAAGGCAGATAGATAACTTGAATCGCCTCGCTCAGGAGGCCATGCAGCACCCCGTGCGCATCGTGATTGGTGGTATCGAATCAAGTAGGCTAGTAACGGGCTAACGGAGCCAGCAAGGCTTAACTAGCTGTCGGACGGGCTGACAAGAGACAACACAGAAGGTGAGAGATTGCAACCCACGAGGCTGTGATGGGCAAATGGTGCATGGTGGCTGCCCCTTTAAGGGGACAATGGCAGGGAACGTTAGCGTGGGTTGACCCCAAACCAGATGAATGATGTATCTGCTGAACAAAGACCATCGACCTGGACCAGAATCTATGACGGAGGCTTCCTTTCAATTGACTTTGCGGGTTTCGTTGGAACCGTCAGATCCCGGCTGTATTCTCCGTATTGATCGGGCGTGGCTTGCACGGTTGCAGCCAATCAGAAGCCCGGCTGCAAGGAAACCCTGAAAATCCGGATCCCCAAGGCGTGTCATGCCCTGCAGCGGTACGGGTTTCATACGATACATCAATACCAGGATATACACATCCGCTAAGCACCGCTAAAGAGTGTTGCCTGCCTAACATGGTTCCTATCACCAGGTGCGCCCGCTAAAATTCTGTCGCATTAGCTCGCTAGTTAGTGATTGAGCCAATTGATGGCAATGTATTTATCTTGATACCGCACAGCCGGTGAAAATGCTGCCCTACGAGTGGGGAAGTGATAGTTTCCTTAAACACCGGGAAAGAGATGTTCCCCAACTACTTCCGCTGACTCACTCCTATCTCTGCATAACTAACTAGAGCTACATAAGAGCATCTTGCAATCACTCTGGTGCAGATAAATAGAATGATGCGCTGCCAGGAGCCACAGAAAGTCTACGTACCGATCTGTTGTTGGCTGAGCTCATCATAATCGCCACTGCCTCTGTTCAGTTGCTATCTTATCCCTCTGGGCAATCAACTCAGCAGCCTTCTCATGCTATGATCAATTGATTCATCACGCCCTGATGGGAACATCAAGATCTCTCCAGGTTGACACCTCAGGTTTCAAAACATGGAGTTCAGTCACACCCACGACGTCATTTATTGCCAAAGAACGGGGTAGAGAACCTGCAGGGCTGGAATAAATTGTCTAAATCAGATCCCTGCAGTCGAGTGATCGCATGTTTACTTATCCAGGTATCAACTCAGGGTGCTGTGGGTGGTTCTGATATCATCCGAGGGATGATCTGCGATCCACTTTCCGCCCATGTCCCGCGATCGCGATGTCCCAATGACTTACTATTGACATCGCTGCGGATCCTCCTGTTCGGGATCGTTCGTGTCGTCACTGCGCCTCAATGATCGTCTGCTATGCAGCCATCTCATTATCATACTATGTACAAAAGGCATACGGGTACAGTACAGAGATGTATTGTACAATACATACAGTCATCACGATTGAGGGACTATGGCATGAGATGTGTTTACATCATTACTGAAAGGTGATCCCCGTCAGATCACCCCAATCGAACGCATCGAGGAAGGGATCGAGGTCGCCAGGAGGCTATAGTCTGGTTAGTTCGCATTCAGCAGCTCAGCAGCATCTTAGCTTACCATCATGCCAAAGCCGGGGGTTGGCGCCATGCTCATGTCGGGAACAAACGGCGGAGGCATCCCAGGACCCGCGTTCAAGCTGGGGACCTTCACAGCATGTTAGTCAAGAAAACCAAGTCTCCTGAATACTTACTTGGTTGGTCTTAAAGTTGCCCAATCCCCAGTCGCCGAGATGGGTGCAATTGGCATGTCGGGTAAAAAGGGTCTGGGCGAACATGATCACTCGCTCGACGACCTCCTGCTTATAGATCTGCGCTTGGCTTGGCCACAGGCCCACTTTCACCAGAGCTACAATGGTCGACATGAAGAAATACTCCTTGGCCCCTTTGACCACCAGGAGGAGGCGGGATTCGAGGCATGCCAAGGCCACCTCCACCAAGGAGATCAGGGACTCGGGGAGCCCGGGGAGGGTTCGGGTGAGTGATGTGGAAGAGCCTACTACGGATTAGTCACTCGACATGGAAGCCAAAGATGGAAGCCAAAGGGTTCAATACCGTTGTCGCTTTGTCCCTGGTGTAGGAGTTGGCATATCGTGCAGTAAGCCTGCATGGTCCAGTCTCCCATGTTAGCGAGAGACAGCTGCGGCGATGTTTCGCGTAAGCGCCGCTGCGTTGATAGAATCATCGACGCCACTTCTAGGCGAGCCCGAGCGGACGGGGCAAAGAGGGAATCCTTTGGGGCTTCGATGGCGAACGGAGTGTGGATAGATAACAGAGAATGCCCGATTTTGTTCTCCAATAGGGCTCGGATGAGGAGCACGCGGTGGGCGGTTTGGAAGTCGTCCATGTCCGAGATAGACCACCGGGGCATCTTTGAGAGGTGTCGATTGAGCTCAAAGTCCAGATGTAGGATATCATCGTACCGGCAGCTGATCCGCGGGGAGTGCATCAACGCACAGGCTTTGAGTCGCAGAGGAAGGGATTGTACGAGGACCGCTTGGAAGGAACAATCAGTGATGACGTCCAATGACTTGGCCGTTGGCAGCTCGGTGCTGCCCTCTTCGATATCGCTGTCATTGATATTGAGCGCCGGAGCTGTGTCGTAATCAGCCTCCTGGAGCGACGGCGGCATGCCTCGTTCGAGAGACACCTGCAGATCAAGCTCAACGATGGTGGTCCATATGCGCCTGCGCATTTCCATGTTGAAAACGGAGATCCGAGCATATCGGGTTGGATCCCGATGGTAGCCGGCCATCATGGCTTGCTTGACGAGCGTGCCCGTAGCGAGCCAAGCCTGACTGCGTTTCATGCCATGGAAGTTGAGAGCGATGATCAAAAGCGTGTTGAGGCGGAGACTGGTCAGCTCCGGTCGCTTGATGTGTGCATTGTCCATCCACTTCTCTGCATGCAGGACCCACTCGACGGCCGTATAGCATTGCAGATTCCCCTCATTCTTCACCTGCAGGGTATGGAAATCGGCGAAGTTCCATGCACAAGCCAAAACCAGTAGGAGCTGCACGACAAAGATTGGCGAGACCATATCCGGGGATTCTCTCTGCGCCCAGAATTCATCCAATTCTTTGAGGAACGACGGGACATGAAGGATCCGATGGGCCGATTCGATGTAGGTGCAATATAGAACGACCAGCTCATCCACCACGGCACGGGTGGGGAGCATTGGGATCATCGAACTGGTGGTGGGCGTAGGAAATGGGGTATTCAGAGGCTTCTTCTTCCAGATGCCTTTCCTCACTCTCATCAGATCGGGCCGTAATGCAGACAAATGCGGACTGGCCTGACGGATCTCCTCCGCAAAGGCCCTGAGGTCAGGGAACTACAAGACGTAAACATTTGACCAATGGTTGATCCGAGGACAAAGGGATTGAAGCAAGGGATAGGAGCAACGGTTACCTGTGCGATAAGGTTGGCAAAAATGCCCGAACCGTTGAAGCGGGTCTTGGTTTCTTTCCCACGCATCATGATTCGAGGGGAGACGTCCAATTGATGTGAAGGCGAAGGGGGACTATCATCGTCTTCGTCTGGATGAGGATGTGTGACCGGATGGGCCTCCGGGGGATGGTGACGATGCAACAGGTCGGTGGTGACATACGGTTCCTGATTGACGGCAGCCTTGGGGGCGCCCAGGACGGTTTCCAGAAATTTATCCCGTTTTTCCTCAACGGGGAGCGAGGGATGACACCGAGACGGTAAACTGCTTATCCCCGAGTCCGGGGTAGGGTGGGCAGTCGCCCGATCAGCTTGGGGCATTTGCACCGTGGTTGTGGGACCTCGCTCGGAGAAAACGGGCGAGGCCACTGTATTGGGCTGCTGCCAGAGAAAGCCATCCTCATAAGTGCACTTGGATGGCGTCTTGCTCTTCTGGCAGCGGCTGCAGACAGGATATTCACGGTCGCAGCGGAGCTTTCTGCTGCGACACTGCATACACGCCATGGTCCGTCTGCGACGCTTCCTCACCCGCTGTTGTTCCGGCGGGGGCTCCAGGTCAGGAGCCCCCAACGGCTGGTGAAAATCGGCCATCCTACTGGGGGGAAACCTTTCATCGGAGACAACTGATGGGGAGGGGAGAACTTGCGAAGAGTTGCTAGGCGCCCCTCTGAGTCTCGCCGAGGGTCATCGGTCGGGTCGGTCGGTGTTCAGATAAGGAACTGGGCGAGGGCCTCCGGGGCGGTGGCTTACGTGGTTGGCCCACCGGCCCTCTTCTCCCAATCTGGTAGCCTGTCCCGGCCCCGTTTCACCCCATCCCCAGAACGACAACGATCTCCGACTGGGTCCAATCGTTTTCTCTGGCAGATTTAGGCAGAGATCAAACTAGCCAACCTGATGGAGTATTTCGGGTTGGGCTATGGGCAACAATTGCGCGGTTGTTCACAATTCCAGATACCACCCAGCCGTGCGGGGGTTCGTTAAGACGGGAAGAACCCCTGACCGAGGTAAGACAATTCTCAGTCACTGCAGTTTCGACGATGACTGCGCCTCAATCCTCCGTGGACCATTCCCGTTAGTCATCTGAGTCGCAGCCACTGAGACGGCCAGTGGTCTTGCCGTTTTAGGCCTAGTGAAGGGACTCCAGGGGTCCAGTAACTTTCTATAAGCTTAACACGGTTACAGAAATTTGGGAAAAAGGAACCGCACAACCCGGATTCCATCTCCACTAGACATTGGACTAAACTCAGCAAGAACCTAGTTCCGAGAGATTCTAGAATCTAGATAATCTCCTCCATTCAAAGAAATTCTGGTCGCAATGTGGAAATTATTACCATGTGCCTAGTGCAGCAGTGCCCGTCCCTATAGCGTGGTAAGACTGGCTGCCCGGCGCAATGGCATCGACCTTTACGGAGTTCCACCTTAATTAGCATCGCGCTGATTGGCGAGAACTAGTACTCATGTGCCATTTATATACGATGACTCTTCATGAATCACGATAGCAAAGATAGAACATGGCCTGCCTAGCAGGCACGCGGATTTCCAAGGACTTGGTCGGGGATAGGGGATAGTCTCGGGGAATTCACACAGCATCTCCGAGCCTGACGGCCATATAAATCAGGATGAGTGCCACTGTTAGGCACGGTCGCGATGATTGAGGCTGCTTCTTATTCGCGACCTATTATCGAAATACGCAGATACTCAAGACACAGTCATCGACATCCTACGTTCAGTTCGCTACCTGAGCTTCAGCAATGCTCCGCTCACTCCTCTCGCGCGGTGGCCTCATCCGCAACGACAGCTATATCTTTCCCACTGTCGATCCCAACGAAGACGGTCCAGACTGCAAAAAAGACTGCGCCGACTGCACGGTGCAATTTCCCTCCAAAGTGAAGGTTGAAACCTCCAGGCCGCTGTACGGTCACATCAAGGAATTCCACACCCATGTCCTGGTCGCAACAGGCAAGTCGGATTGGACCGAAAAGGTCGAGAATGAGAAGGGGTCTCTGATGGAAGCGTTTGATGAGTCGTCTCACAAGTCGCAGCATGGCGTATGTCTCTCAATCCTTGTGATATGCAGCTGTCTAACAGAAACAGCGCGTTATGGTCTCCGCCTCGAATCTCGAATCCCCAGACACCGACGAGAAGTCCGAAGGAGCCACAATTCTGCTGCTACCATCATTCACCTTCATCGACTCCGTCCAACGAAGCGACATCAACGATGTCATTACTCGCTTCATCGACGCTCCCTTGTCCCAGAACGGCATCCCCGCCAACCCTGAGTCCAAACTCTCCCCCCGACCCTGCCAGTACGATTACATGGTGCTGCTGTGTTCTCACCGACGACGGGACGCCCGCTGCGGAATCACGGCCCCATTGATCAAGAAAGAGCTGGAGCGACACCTGCGCCCTCTCGGGCTATACCGCGATGCCAACGACGAGCGCCCCGGTGGCGTGGGGATCTTCTTTGTATCACATGTGGGCGGACACAAGTTCTCCGCGAATGTCCTGATCTATCGCAAAGAGCAGGAGCAGATGATCTGGCTGGCTAGGATCAAACCAGAGCATTGTGAGGGAGTCGTCAAATACACCCTCTTGCAGGGGAAAGTGGTACACCCCGAGTCGCAGCTGCGAGGAGGATTCGATAGAAGTCGGGGCGTGACGAGTTGGTGATACACGGCGAAAATTTACTATAAATAGATAAATTATGATTAGAACTAATACATCAAGTAATAAGAGCAACGCTACTTCAATGTTGACCGAGCAATGGCTTACAATCCCATGGAAAAGTGGTCAAACACGCTACGTCACCCGCGCTGGACCCGCGTTAATTGATTTCGCGCACGCGACGGACCAACCGCCGGGGCTCCATTACCACGGCACTCCCAACGCACGGTTTACCCCTTCCTCCGATAGCATTCCTACTACCAATAGCATATCCTTATCCTATCTCCATTGAGCAACCTTGTCAATATGCAATAATGGCGGCCGTCATCGCTCCGGAGATCGCAACCCAGTCCGCCAATTTACGCGCCGAACTGAAGGAATGGGAGAGAGCGTTTGCGGTCGCAAACGGGGGGAAGAAGGCGGAACGGAATGATATCAAGAAAGTCCCTGAAATAGGTATTTCTCTCCTAATTAATGATGACTACATTCGCATACTGGCTACCAGACTGGTCCGACTAATATGTTGTGCCTCAGCCGCAAAATACAAAGAATACTCCCGATTAAAAGCCCTCGAGTCGAAGAACGAGAAGAAAGCCATCAAATTAGAAGAACGCCTTAAAAAGCGAAAGCACACATCACCGACCGGACCAGAGAACACGGATACCACTTCAACACCTCGCAAAGCCGCTAAAGGGATATTCGAAACGCCTTCCAAGTCCCGCGTCGCAACATCACATCCCTCCGAAGTTGACCCTTATGATTCGCCCTCCGTCCTACGAAGACTCTTCAGCCCCAGCACACATCAATCACCGTTGAAAGCAGCCATTGGTCCCACTCCCCAGCGAGATGGAAAGGCACTCGGTCTGTTTGACCTCCTCTCCGAGTCGGGCGGTAGCACTGCCACCCCTTCAGCAACCAGAATGGCGAGCGTCCGGGATACGGCTGCTCAGACCCCGTCAAGACGGAATCAATTAGATACTATCGCAGAGGAGGAGGAAGGGGAAGAAAGTCCCCGAGCGCAACGAACGCCCGCATCATCCGGGAAGAAATGGATGCTTTCGACTCTATTCGCGACCCCGACTACATGGCGCTACGCTATGATGGAGAACGAGGGCCCCAGGTATCCCGCGTACATTAGAAACGAGCCAGAACCGGAGGAAGTAAACGAGGGCCCGGCTGAATCAGAGACCCCTTCCTTCCTTCGACGATCTACATCAGGACGGTATGACACCGGCAACGAGGGTGGACTCAGCCCTATTGCTGTTCGGAAGAGACCGCAATTCGTCGGCAAAGGACTTTCAGCCCTGGTACAGGGGTTGCGCGATATGGAAGAAGAGCAGATGCAGGATGACATGGACGTTCTTCATGAGATCGAGGCAGAGCAAGCGGCACTGAATGATGTGGGTGATAGTCAAGCACCCGACGAGCCGAGTTGGATCTTCAAGAAGAAGGGCCAGAAGCGCACGACGCGCAAAGTGCGCATGAAGCCGGTGGTTTCGAAGCCGAAACCAGAACCTGAATTACCGGGTTCAGATAATGAGGAGGAGGATCTCGATGAGGAACAGACTGTCGTCCCCGAGACGCAGCATCTTGCCCCCGAGGCCGAGGCGCACGATATAGACGAGGTCGAGTCGCTTCATACCATGTCTGAACCGGACTTTGACTCTGACCCTGACTATGACGAGTCGAAACCTGCGAGAAGCAAGAGCTTCTCGGAGAGGATGAAAGAGGCCATAGCGGCTGATAAGCCACAGGAGGAACGCCAGGAGAAGTCGCCGCAGCCAAAACCAAAGGAGCAGGAGAAGGAGCAGGAAAAGAAGCCTCGTGCCCGGAAGGTGAATCCTGCGGCGCACGCCAATTATCGTTCGTTGAAATTGTGCAACAAAAACACCAAAGCGCGAGGCGGCAGGCGTTTCGGTAGAAGATAAAGATACCCCGTTGTCAGAATTACGAGCAACGACTACGCACATAATTGTCGAGATACCAGTCAATCGAAGAGTATCTATGTCTATTGTCATGCCATATCATCCACGGGCCCATCCACCAAGTAGCCGTCAATCGGGGATATACCGATCCCGTGCATATTGCACCCGTCTGGCCTGAGCCAATGCATCGCGAGACCTCCCTTGATACCGTCCCCGCGAGGGACTCGACGGCTTCGACACCCTCCCCCGCCCCCGATACACCGGGGTAGATGTCCGATCGGGCTCCTCCGCCCGAACATCTTCATACTGTACATTACGATCCCAGTCCTCCAGCGACGAATAAGGACTTCTCAACCACGCCTGCAACTCGTGCAGAAACAGGCGCGCATTATCCCTCCCTAGGAAATCTCGCAAAAGTTCCTCTGCCTGTCCGGCGCTCCCTTTAATATCCACGGTGCGCAGGATCGCAATAATATACTCGAGCAGGAATTCCGCATTATTCCCCCGTCGGTTCTCGAGCCTTTGCGGGCCGGCGCGCGCCACCCGACCAGATGCAGGCTCCTCAGTTTCGGGGTTGAGGAATTCGAAGACTTTCAGTTCCCGTCGGATCCATTTCCGGGCCCGAGAGACGAGATCTTCCTCGCGGTTGAATCGTTCAGGTGTCAGCTCGCGGTACTGCGACATACGATTGGATCCGACTCGCAGGGAGTAGAGTTGGTGGCGATAGATATGCTGTCGGCGGCGGAGCGGGTCGTCGGGAGGTTGTTGGGTGTCTGGACGAGGGTATGGACGGGGACGACGCGGACGACGCGGGGCACGATGCAATGAGGCCCCAGATGCATGAGAGGACGAGGCTGTAGCGCTCACTACCGGGAGTTGATAGACCTTATGCCCATTGGGACTGTCGAGATCATATCTCACAGAAGTGACTTCACTTTTACCTAAATCCAAGACCAATTAGCACCAACAAAACCAACCAATCAGAAAAATATACATACAAAGCGGACAATTTCTTCTCAACTCCAACCAGCTCACCAAACACAGAAAATCGAAATTCGCATGTCGACAAGGCACCGCGACGGCGGCTTCGGAGACCGGCTCGAGACAGATCACGCACGGATTCGCTTCCTTGTCGCCTTCATTGTCACCTTCCTTGTGCGCTACCTCTTGCAGCGTCCTTTGTAAGATTTCCTGTTGCAAGTCGACATCATGGGACATGAGATTGATATCCGACTGCGAAGAGGTGGCGTCGAACGGATATCATGAGTGATGGAGTAGTGCTATCGCGACGGATGGCTGACCGCCTGGGACGTCATGGTGCTGTGACCGCCTTCTGGTGTGGGTTTCGCTGCTGATAGGTTGCGATGAATGGGATTTGACGGGCAGAATTGTACGGGACGCGGTTATGGCGGGGGTGGTAGGACGGCATCGGCTGGAGAATACGTATTGCCACGGAGGTGTGGATTGCCACGATATAGTAGTTGTTGAAGATGGTGTTTTGGAGCTTTATGGTTACAGTGACTGGTGTTTCTCTAGCAACTAGAGCTTATAGTAGACACCATAGATACTATAACCTTTGAATAATTTTAGGCCACGAAAATCTGTTCTATTCTTGAACCTCAAGCTTGAACATAATATGCTCGATATACTGCGGTGTACGTGGCAATACTCCAGGCCGTGCAGGTATGTAATGTGCGGGCGGAAGGAACCAAGCGGTCAAGACATGTCGGAGACCACCCTCTGATCGCCGGCATATTGGCAAAATCTCCGCGCAAACCTCCTAGTCGCACGCACGCTGTGGCGAGAGTCCTACTTCCTATGTAGAGACAAGCACTAACGATACACTGCTGATTGCTATGGTTGATGAACATGAGATCTGCTAAAGCTGTAGTGACCGAAAACGCAGCCGCCATGCGCGTCCAGGCCCATGGCTCCGTGTCGCGGACCATCACCAGCTTAAGGCGATGGTCCATCATCAACAAAGAACTTCCAGGTACGCTTTGGTTCTGCGATCGCTGCAGCTGTGCTAACATATGGCGATTAGTGGTGTCACAGGTTCGATCTATTCACGTCTACGATTTCGACAACACATGTAAGGAGGGGGCCCCGGGTTGGCGGCGCGTCGAGTTAACGCCGTCTAGTATTCTTGAGTCCGCTTCCGAATCCGCAGCTATGGAATGGCCCGACTATTGGGTTCCTGCAGGCTTATGAGAGCTTTGCGAATGGCGGCTGGTGGCATGACCCCAAGTTGCTGGCTGCGACTGGTGATGGTATGGAGAAGGAAGAGGCACGGGCTTGGGAGGGATGGTGGAATGAGCAGATTGTGCGACATAAGTGATGTGTGTTTGATATGCGGGCTGCGACTGACTCGTCATAGGTGCAACTGGTCAAGCTGAGTATGGAGCAGAAAGATGCCCTTACGGTGCTGCTGACCGGCCGCGGTGAGAATAATTTCTCGGAACTCCTCCGCCGTATGGTGGATAGCAAGAAATTGGAGTTTGATCTCATTTGCCTCAAGCCTGAGGTTGGCCCGAGGAGCCAACGGTTCTCCACTACTATGGAATTCAAGCAGACTTTCTTGGAAGACCTTGTTCTCACTTACGACCAGGCTGAAGAGATTCGCGTTTACGAAGATCGCGTGAAGCAGTGAGTCTGGTTCTGCTGTTGGCTGATGGCATACTGATACGCTGCAGTGTGAAAGCTTTCCGGGATTACTTTGAGCAGCTAAACCGCAGGTTACAGTCCGGGCCGAATGGCGCGAGAAAGCCCATCAGCTCCGAGGTCATCCAGGTAGCGGAAGGATCGATGTACCTTGCCCCTGTAATGGAAACCGCTGAAGTGCAGCGTATGATCAACTCTCATAATCATTCTATCCGCAACGCGGCTATGAACCGGGCCAAATCCCCGTACGGCCGACTACGCATCAAGCGGACTATCTTCTACACCGGCTATCTCATCTCCAATACTGATTCTGGTCGACTGATCCGCCAGATTTTGAACCCTATGCTGCCCTTTGGGCTTGCTGATTCTAATGATCTGAAATACATGGCCAACAGCATACTAATCACTCCCCGTCCAGCCCCTCGGTCTATTCTTGATAAGGTTGGTGGCATCGGCAAGAAGCTGAACTGGCAGGTCACCGGGACTGCGTGTTTTGAGAACCGCGTCTGGGCTGCAAGGTTGACGCCCGTGCCAGCCACCGAGAAGTACTACACGGAGAACCCGCATCCGGTGGTGGTCCTGGCGGTGCGCAAAGGCGCGCGCCCGATTGACGCTGGCAAGATCCAGAATTGGCACCCGGTCCCTGCTGACAAGGCCTTGACTTTGGAGACGGTCGTGGGCGAGAAGGTGGTCCTTCGCGTTGAAGAAGAGAACCCCAACGAGGGCGAGTGGGAGAGTCAGTTCCCGAACAAGAATAACAAACGTCGCCACCAGCAGGAACGGGATGAAGAAATCCTGTATCCGGATCAGACCCAGGACGGGCCGCCCCATAGCCGACCACACTATAACCCGCGCTATGGAGGCAATAACCGTCATCACCATGATGACGGTCCTCGGCGGGGGTCATATCGCGGGCGTGGGCGTGGGTCAACGTCGCGCGGCCGAGGCCAAAGCCGGGGCGGGCGTGGCCGAGGGCGTGGTCGGGATGCCGGACCTCCGGGAGGATATCGGTCCCTGGACGATTATGGCGGTGGGTACGAGGGGATTCACTACGAAGAGAAGCCGGGCGGCAACAGCGGGGGTGGCGGACCGGTGATGAATTATTAAGAGGTCGATGGTTGATGGACGTCACATGGCGCATTGCGTTTTGCGTTCTGCATGCTGCTTGCATTGCTGGCTTGATGCTAGTTCTACTAGGCCTGATTTCTGCAAATTATCAATGAATCAATTCAATGCTTGATAGTCATGCCCCGGCATAGATTCAGACTACCATCCTAACCCTATATCTTCTCCGTGTCCTAGACACTTTCTCCCCTCCAACAAATCCTCCCCCACGCCCATCGATGCGTTCTGTAAGATGTTAGCGAATAGAAGTCTGTATCGGGGCGAAAGGATTCATGATAGCTAGTATATCAATTATGAATACCTTGCACCTGTCTTCTTGGGGATCTCTCCGAGGGTGGAAGCAGTAGGAATGGATCCCGCACGGATTTCACTTCACCTCCCATACTCCTCATCCTCTCGTGTCCTCCTACCTGAACCATGCTTCCAGTTTGCTCCTGGTCTGACATCATACCAGTTATCAGGTATCCGAGTCTTGGACAGCTTCTTTTCACGTTCTTCGTTAAAGTCCCGAAGTAAGGTTTAAAACCAACGTATGGGCGAGCTTTGGTTGGTGAAGTCCATTTCTTCCTCCCAATCTAGATGACATCTCTCTCTGTCCATGCCTTACTGACATGAGACCACGTCAGCAGCGCTCGCCCTCAGATCCAACCACACTCAATTTCTATCCAGGAACGATCGAGAAATAGCTAGACTCGTATATGATGTGTCATGGGGCCATACTAGGCTGACACAACTACTATGAGTCAAGACTAAGCAAGCTGTGACACGCCTCCGAGGCGCAGTGTGGACTATCCGAAAGCTTGGTAGATCCGCAAAACCTTATGTCAAGGCGATGCCAATGCCCTGGTCGGCAACTTCCGGCTGGCGAGTGTTTTACTGCCTCGAATAGCTTCGAGGTGGATGGGCAAGTCATATCAAACGCTAACGCTGGCTTCTTAATGAGAGTGGCTTCAGGATCTACGGTTATCATACAAACCAACTCTGCCAGTATGCCAGCACAGCTCGGACAGGAAACAGGAACCGTGATGACGGACCTGGACCTCAAGCTACCATGCACTATACCACACCCCAGTCTCTCAGTGATAAATCTTCTGCCGCCATGTGTCTAGAAAGTTCACAAGTCGTGACGTCACCACTAATGATTCAGAAGGTCGCAGTGTATTCTTCAACAAGTGACGTGCTATCACTAATTCACCCTCCTATGAAGTCACCCATACGGTTCCAGACCTATTCAAATCCGACGGATCAGTGCCCACTCAGCAGTTATCAACCCGGCTTCCATCGGATTTACGGCTTTATCGCGGTATTACGGCTATAACCCGCTGATGATAGAAGCCCACCAGTTAAACTTGCTTTAGAGTTCATCGAACAGAGGGCCTGTTCAGTAAAGCTATGATTGCCACCGGGCCTTGCCTTTATAAATCAGTGATGTCTCCTCAGATGGATCCTGGTTATAGAACCAGTGCGTTATTGCTCTCCTGGGGAAGCGAGATTGACTAGCTCAGATCATGGAGACCATTCGAGATTCGGCGTTTGGGAAGCTAGTCCGCATCTTCAGTGGGAAAAGATGGCTGCGCTATCCCGAGGAGATCGACACAGGCATGTGGACCGAGTACCTGAAGACAGAAAAGCAGGTCAAGGACGAAGAAGCGGCAGTCGCTGAAAGCGATCATGAGAATTTGGGTCTCTATACTGTCCTTTCGCAGGCGTCCAGAGCTTCCCGTCGCCTATCATCTACATCGACAGCTCGGAGTGTGGGGGTGGATGAAGAAAATCCCAACCCCAGTGCCCCAATTGTCATTGACTGGAAGGAAGCAGATGATTCGGAAGTGCGTCTAGATTCACGAGATAACATTAGCACTGCTAACGAGCTGCAGAACCCTCAGAACTGGAGCACATTCAAGAAGCTGTTCGTCAGCAGCTTAATCTGGCTTCTGACATTCGCCATATATATTGGCTCAGCGATCTACACCCCCGGCATCCCTGGTGTTTGCGAGCAATTTGGAGTGAGCAGAGTGGCCGCTACACTCGGACTGACCCTGTTCGTGCTAGGATATGGCTTAGGTACGTTTCCCATCAGCCATACTTGCTAAGTATCGGCGCAATAAGCTAATTGGTGAAGGCCCGATGGTTTGGTCTCCCTTGTCAGAGTTACCTGCTATCGGTCGAAGCCCTACCTACGTCCTCACCTTGTTCGTCTTCGTCTTCTTCCAGTTCGCCGTCATCTATGCCACAAACTTCGGAATGCTCCTAGCATTTCGGTTCCTTACTGGATTCATCGGATCCCCGGCCTTAGCCACGGGTGCAGCATCCATGGGAGACATCTGGAATCCGAGAATACGAGACTACATGATCATCATCTGGGGTGCATTTGCCATCTCCGCCCCTGTCTTGGGTCCCTTGGTTGGCGGCTTCGCAGCTCAAGCAGAAGGATGGAAATGGACCATCTGGCAGCTCCTCTGTGTCTCCGGATTCGCCTTTGTCCTCCTCTTCTTCTTCCTCCCGGAGACCTACGCACCCAACATCCTCTACCGACGGGCCCGTCGCGTCCGCCAGGTCACTGGCAACTCCAACTACAGATGCGAGGCCGAGATTGAAATATCCCACGTCAAACCAAGAGTATGCCCCCCTCCCTCCCTTTAGCCTCCATCCCTCCACTAACCCACCCACAGGACGTCCTCTTCGAAGCCCTCGTCCGCCCCTTCCAACTCTGCTTCCTCGAACCCATCGTCTTCCTCATGAACCTCTACATCGCCCTAATCTACGGCATCCTCTACATCTGGTTCGAAGCCTTCCCCATCGTCTTCAGCGAAATCCACGGCTTCAACACCGGCCAAAGCGGCCTCGCCTTCCTCGGCATCCTCATCTCCACCTGCTGCCTCACCATCCCCTGCTACTTCTACTGGAAATACAAATACCAAACCAAACACTTCGACGCCAACTGGAACATCGTCCCCGAAATGCAACTGCCCCCCGCCTGCATCGGCGCCTTCGCCCTCCCCATCTCCCTCTTCTGGTTCGGCTGGACCGGCCAATTCGCCTCCATCCACTGGATCGTGCCCATCATCGCCTCCATGCTCTTCTCCGTGGGTGGCTGTCTCATCTTCAATTGTATTTTCTGTTATCAGGCCCATGCGTACCCCAAGTATGCGGCGTCGGTCCTCGCCGGGAACGATTTCATGCGATCGTCGTTTGGCGCGGGGTTTCCGTTGTTCGCGACCGCTATGTTTCATAATTTGGGGGTCGGGTGGGCGTGTACGTTGCTGGGGTGTTTGTGTGTCCTGTTTGTCCCGTATCCGTTTGTCTTGTTGAAGTATGGGAAGAGGTTGAGGATGGCGAGTAAGTATGCGAGACATGATATTTGATGTTGGCTGCTTCTAGGGTTTATTCATGATGTTTATGATCAAGAGCTTGCATATTTGTCTTTCTGGAAATAGTTGTATGCATGTAGGTACGGATACTCAAGAGGTTGACTCGATGACAAAATGAGTTCTCCTTGCCCATTTTGCGTGGCTTGGCTTTCATTCTCTAAAAATAATGAGATCACTGATACTGGTAACATAAGATGACGACCTAGTATACTTGTAGGTATTTCATTTGCAGTCTAGGCCATAACGTATCTAAAATAATCATGCAAAGTTCCATCCGATACCAGCCTGTTCCCAACAACCAACCAACTAACCAATCAAGTACCAATAAAGCCAGGGTAAAAACAATAAATGCTCATCTTTTATACAGATCAATAATGGGGTCATCAATAACAACAGTCAAACTGGCAGAATGTACAAAGAGACGGAAAAGTGTATAAAAATCAGATCAAATCACTAGATTCAATCGTTTGGTTCATTTGTTCAGTGAGCTGGGTTCGTATTTTGTTCAATCGGTAGACCAAAAGTGGGAGATATAGATAGTCTCCAAAGCCGTCGGCCGCCCAAATATGCTCATTATGCATTCCTTCAAGATCCCATATCCGTATCCGTGTCCATATAATCCATAACATATCCATTCAAAATCAGAGGTCGTTCGTAATTATTCATGCTGTGCCGTTCGTATGTATTCGTGTCGTTAAGTCGGGGAGGAGGGGGTGTGTAGCGGGTCGAAAGAAAAGCCAAAACCAAACAATAAGAATATAAGAAACGTAGGCCATGCGGGGCTATGCTTCGTCTGTCAACTGCTGTATCAAGTTGATGCTGAGAATCATAACCAGCAGCCCTATTGTCACGACCACTAGGAGACCGAATCCAAACCAGCCAAGAACCATGGCGGACGTTCCTACGCCACTCTTGACACTTCCGTTGCCCATGTCTTGAGCGATGGTGCTTGCGGCTACGGAAGCCGTGTGCTGCCATAGCACAGAGACAAGCACAAATACCGAAGACACGAAGATAAGGGCCAGTGCTGCTTGGGAGACCGGCCGCGATGGGAAGGGCTTGGACTCGACTTCGGCACCGTTGGCGTCTAGCTCATCGTGCCAGCCGGGGAAGGTTGCGAGCAGGATAAAGCAGAAGAAGGCTAGAATGACGGCAATGATCCTGAAGAGAATTAGTGGATTTGCAGGGTCAAAGAAAGAAAAGAGAACATACATAAGGTATGGAAACACAACCGCATCCTTGAATGTTGACGCCACCCAAATCAGGTTCAATGGGTCCTGATCAACCGTAACAATCTCCGCCAATGCTGTCGCATTCGAGTTGCAAATGTAGGATCCGTCGTCTGGCTGCACGCAGATTCCGAAATAGCCCACGCGAACCTCCATTTGTGCCCCTCCCACAATATTCGCCGTTGCCGTCACTACTCCGGGATCGACCTGGGCGAGATTGAACGTCGGTTTATAGCGCTCATAGTATAGTGAGATCAGGAATATGTCGGGAATTTGTGGGGAGGACGATGAGCACCCGGCCAATAGTAGAGCTAGACAATTAGCTACATTCCTGAGTCGGATTGGCTTGGTTTGACATACATAGAAGAATGATGGCAACTGCGATGATAACCATCAGCACGTGGTGATACCCGACTAACGGCAGAAGCCCTGGATGCCAATGTCAGCTGATACATTCTTCCCAATGACTTGCAAGCATACGGGATATCTTGGCGCCTATTCCTGCCATCTCGGTCCGGTAGTCGGTCCTTTCCTCTCACAGTATGACTCGCTTCTCGGGACTCCGAGAAGGAGTGTTAAGCGTCCGGTGCGGCTCACTCTGTCGGACACCACCCGACGACGAGCGGTCTGATACTGTAACAAGGTGAGGACTCTGAGAGTCGACTAGCTCTCAGATCACAAGGTGTAATGAGCGGGTGTGAAGAATGCGCCGATACGGTTGGATGGAATGTGACGAAACGTGTGCGAGAAGAAGGAATGATGCCGGAGATCGAAAGAATGCTCGTCCCGCAATGGACCCTGGGCAATCTAAGGGTAGTTAGAAGCAGAGAAAAAGTAATGCACCGTCGTGTGGGTTCAGATGGGTTGCCGTATGCCGAAAAGAGGCAAGCGGAGACGAGGAACTGGGGAATTGCAGGGGCGTGAAGGGGAGGGAGAGGTGGAAGGGGAGTGAGAGAAAGCAATCGTAGCTAGACAAAACCTCCGGGCCCTCGAATAGCACACAACAACGAGCGAGTCTGGCGTGGTGGGTGGATTGCGACCGCGATCGTGGTGGTGATAATGAAGGAGGCTGGGACTGGGCGTATACTCAGCGGGCGGCCCAATTGGGGAGGCTGGGCCACTGGTCTTTGTTTACGCCGTCCGTTTCCCAGTAACCACCCTCACCGCCTGCCTGTTCCCACCCGCGTGGCCCCCACTTATTCCCCCGATAACGCTAGCCGGATCGGGCCCCCCACCGATCTGCTGTTATCAGCACCTGATCTCCCAGCCTCCCTCCCCAGTGCCCAGTGCCACGAATTATAAAAAGTAACACGATGCGGTCAGTTCCAGGCACGCCACGGATTAAGGCAAACGCTATTTATTAGGTCCCGCTGTGTCCCGCCATATGTCATCATCCCCGGTCGCCAATACCGCCCAATGAGTATACAAGTGAAACAGATGCTAATGACAATCCTCTAAAGTCTAGACACCTCGCCTCTTATACCAGATGATCATCCTAAAGCCACCAGAAGCATATGTAAGGATATTCCAAAGAACGCCAATGCATAAGATGCAGCTGCACTGGGACCCAACGTAGCTTGCCAAGAAGAGCTTATTTCCCCATGAAGGAAAACCGCCGGACGTCGAACGAGACAGCGGTCTTTTGCGTATGTATCTCGTCACTCTCGTCATCCTCACTATCCGGTATGATCATGTCTTCACTGCCCTGGCTGGGAGTGGTCAAGGTCTGCACAGGCTTGAGCTCACGATTTCCAATTCCCGGGGTCGTGGGTCTTTTCGAAGTACCGAAAGCCGCTAGGGAAACGCAGTTGAGTGATCGAGACCGAGACAAGGCACTTTGGCCTAAGCGCTGCAATGGCGTTGTCCGCTGACGTCTGGGTGGGGTTTTCGAGCTGTGTGGCACGCTAGGAGTCGTCTTATGCTCATTCAAGGAAATCGGCTGGGAATCCTCGCCACCAGGGCCACCTCTTCGGGGACTGACGGAGGAATTGCCCGCTTGAAAGACATACCTTGAAAGCAACGCAGAACTTTGCCGACGCAAGGGGCTGGGATTAACAGGGTTTGAGCTCGACCCCAAAGCTTGGTCAGTGGTGGACTGTTCCGGAGCTTGCCCTTTCCCGACTTCTGGACCAGGCTCAGAAGCGACTGCAGGCTGTTCAAGCGTACTATCGTCTGCAGTAGAAGGATTCGGATCGACAGTGCGTGTCTGATCCTTGGGTGCCTGCACAGGGTCTGGTAGCTGTGACATCAAATCTTCTGCAGAGTCATCTGAGAAAACGTCCAAGGTAGACTTGCGCGCTTTCTTCGTGCGAGTAGTCTTCTGTGCGCTCGGACTGGAGTCGTCCAAGGTACCGGGAAAGAATCTGCTGCGACAGTCGGGCAGGTTCGGCAGGCTGGTCTCATCCGCATCGGAACACAGCCTTTGCCGTTTAGCGGGTTGCAGATTCGACAATCTGGAGGCCTGGGCCAGGAAGGAGTTGCGCTCGACACTTCTGACTAGTGGACTCGAGGGCCTGCTTAATCCCACGGACGAAGCAGATCTGACTAGACCTGGCCGGGACGGTGCAGGAACACTGTCCCATGAGCTATTGGCATGGCGTTGTAGAAGTCGTTGCTGGCTCGGAGAGGGTGTGAGACTGTTCGGATCCAACTCCGCCAGCGGAACTCGTTTGGGGGTGAAGAAGGAGCTGATGGGTTTATTCGGCTTGAGTTCGGCAGATGAGCCTAGTGTCTGTCGCCGGTTTATGGTGTTGGTAAGCCTTTTATCGGCCAGTTTCTCCGCAACTGATGGCTTTAGCACAAGAGGTTCCTTCGTCGTCGGATCCAGATCACCACGAGCCACTCCCACCGCAATCTCAGGATCCACATCATCACCAATGAAAGTGAGGTCTTCTAGCTTAGTATCAGACTCGGGTGCAGTGAGAGTCACTAGTTTCCCAGCTTTCGGACAAAACACCCTCTGATACAGGAACGTAAGCTCCGCCTGTCTGAAGTTGTCCAGGTAATTGGAGGGAACGTGGTATTGTCCTTCAAATTGAAGCATGCGCAGTGCCCTCTCAACATTTTTGTATTTCCGAATGCTTCGATAGGCTGTCTTCAATCCCAATCGTGCAATGTTGGGCAAGTAATCGCAGCCACTGAGGATACACATGCGTCGAAAGTCGTCATCGGTCCAACCAATCAGACTTACCTCTCGACAAGCCGAGAAGTCAGCGCGATTAATCTCAATGCAGTCGCCGTGCTGGTCGAGCTTGGATAACAATCGCTTCGCACCGAATACGAGCAGGTCCGAATCTTCTGAGATGATCCCAGAAATGATGCCTTCTTGTTCCAAATAAGCCAGTTGCGCATCCGCCTCGTATGGTGCCACCACGTATTGAACGCCCATTTTCTTCAGCTCCTCTATCAGTTCGCGGGCCATCAAAGGGGTCACGTCCACGGCCTTCTGCAATTCCTGGTATGCCTCCGCAGTCCGTCCCTTTCGCTGAAGTTCCAATCCGAGGGCTTTGCTCTCCTGCCGCCTCTTATGGCGCTCCACCTCCGTTCCAAGCTTACTGGGCAACTCATCACCATCGAAGACAAGATAAGGCGTCACACCAAAGTAGAGGAGCATGCGAACTCGGTTCAGGACGAAATCAATGTGTCTGCCGTCGTGTAAGCAAAATAGCGAAGATGGCTGCTTGATACTTACTTTCTGCTAGGCCTGCCCAGTACCAAGTCCACCGCACAGGCGACCGTACCTCGATGCAGCCATCCATATGCATCGACCCCAAGGGTTTGCCCACTAAACTTCTTCAGATTACATGGTTTCTGGATCGACTTGAGCAGGCCATGAAGTCCTATGTACTGAGTAAGCCATGCAGATCCCTCCCAGCCGAGGGCTGTAAAGAATCACCTTTAATGCCCATTGTCAGCTCCTTTAGATAGGATACTCGTTCTAGGGAGTTGCACCGCCAAAACAGACATCAGCCGGTGTCTGTTGGTGCTAGGAGTCAAATCTGACGACGGGCATGGGAACATGGGACATTAGTGCTCAAGCGATGCACAAGCCTGGACCACCCCCTAAACAGTGGCACCCGATGATGACCTAGACAACAACAAGGTTGGAATGCTACCTTCCCCTCGTCCTCCGACGCGCAAGGACGCGATGGGGCGACTCAGTACCCACGCTTCTGATTGGCCGAATAAAGGCGGTATTGAGCCTCCATTCTACCGCCTTTATTTTCTGCCAGACGAAAAAGAAATCCGCCGCAAAAGACGAAAATGAAGTTTCGACTATCCGATCGAAATTTTTGGTCATTCTTCGAGGAGGAGCCCAGGACTTTGTAGAATCATTCGCCACCATGCCTAAGACACTTCAAAAGGTTCATAAGCATATCGCCAAGAAGCGAGGCGCTGTCGAGGCTCTTCATGAATTCAGCAGAGATGCGAGGAGACTGCGCCGAGCCAATGCCAGAGACGATCGAGTCGCTCGTGTCTCGGCCAATATGTCGCGGGGAAGACAGACATACGGTGATTACTGCTATCATTATAATTTCGGATCTGGCGCGTCTAATCTGTGTATAGTGGACCGGATCGCATATTTCTACGAGGCCATTCCGGAAGGCTCCCAACCCATGTCAGAGGAGGAAATGAAGGATGTCGTCGTCAGGTGCGGACTATTGTCAGCTTGAAGCTTCCATAGACTCATGAACGACAACAGGTATATCAACCGCAGCGTGCCCGAGATCGAACAACTACAGAGCGAGAGACGGAAGGGCCGGCCGCCGAGCAAGAGGGAAGAAGCCCTGTTGCAGCGGACAGACGTTGAGAATCGGGAGTTTAAGACGGGATTCTGGATGCCCGACTTTAGTGACGAGGGTGTGCTCAAGGCACTTGCGTCGTGGAACGGCGACTGGTCTGGACTCAGTACGATGAAGTTTATCCGGATCACCAAGGAGGGATCGAAACAACCTTCAGCATTTCCTCCCAAGGGCATGTCCTAAGGCTTCTTTTTGCACTTTCATTATGGGATCAGTATGCGCGGAGATTCATGGCATAACGGCGTTATGATTGCACATAGATATCTTCAAAAGTGTTTGTCGAATGTTTTCTGTAGCTAGTTAATATCCACGAATACCTATTGGTTCAATCCAAGGCTTTCTATTTTGTTTCTTTCTCATGGCAACCTTTGAATGGCATGAGCCGGGATGGCGGCCATTGATTGGCCAGGCGGCTGCTGCAGGAGCTCCAGTCTTGGCGGACGGACCGGTAACATCATCAGCTCGCCTCTTCCAATCCTTCATCATCTCTCAACTTTTTTTCACTCGCCCTTTCATCCTCATCACCATCCTCAAAATGATGTCCCTTCGCACTCTCGCTCGCTCCGTGCCTCGCACTGTCTCGCGCTCCGTCGCTATCTCCCGCCCCGCTGTTTTCCGTCCGGTCTCCGCCGTCCCCAAGAATGCCTTCCAGTCGTCTCTGAAGCAGGTTACGAGACCTTCGTATGCTGCTTTCTCAACCTCTCGCGCATTCAAGCAGTCCCCTGCCGAAGGTATGGAATAAATACTCTGCGCGTTTTCAGATATTTGCACGAAAAGAATAAACCGGAAGATTCGTCTTGTTTTTCCCCTTTGCGAAAAAAGCAGAGCTTCAGTTGTAGCTCGCAATTGCAAATAACCAGAAGGTGTATGCTGACCTTGGTCTTTGGACTACGCTAGGTGACGTCGAGCTGGTCGCCAAGCTTGAGGATGAGCTGAAGCACGAGAAGGCTTCCGGCCTCGAGGACCTCGAATCCTCCGTTCAGAACATTCAGTATGTTCTTCAGAACAACTCCTGGGAGGTGTGTACAGAGATTCTGCTGAATGTCCGATTGCATTCTAACATACCCGTGTACAGGTCAAGGATGTTCCCGGCGAACAGGAGGTCGTCCTGACCAAGAAGTTCGGCAACGAAGAGTAGGACTCACGACAATCGTCTTCTACCGCGACACTAACAGTTTCGATAGGATCCGCCTCACTTTCACCGTCGCCGACCTTCAGAACCTGAGCGAGCAGGAGGACTTCGATGACGCTGCTCTGGACGAGCTCGACTTCCAGGGTCACAACCCCGCCAACCAGGGCCGCCCTGGCAATGTCTCTCAGCACCCCGAGGACCGTGTCGCCCCCGCTGACCGTGAAGGCGAGGACCTCGACCGTGACCTTGAGCCCAGCTTCCCTGCCCGTGTCAACATCACCATCGAGAAGCCCAGCAATGGCTCCCTTCTGATCCAGACCGTTGCTCAGGATGGCCTGTTCCAGATCGAGGAAGTCTCGTACTTCAACAAGCCTGATCTGGCCCACGCCCAGACCGCCGAGAAGGACTGGGTTAGACAGAGCATGTACGCTGGGCCTCCTTTCGAGAACCTTGATGAGGATCTGCAGACCTTCCTGGAGCGTTACCTTGACGAGAGGGGCATCAACGCCGAGCTTGCCAACATGATCCCCGACTACATCCAGGTTAAGGAGCAGAAGGAGTACGTTCGCTGGCTCGAGAGTAAGTCACCTGGAGACCTTTGACGCTACATCTTTGACATGATCTAACGGAACCACAGACGTCAAGAACTTCGTTGCTGCTTAAACGCAGAACATCGACCAGCTGGTGCATCGGTTCTTCACGAACGAGCAGTCCAGGACGCTTTAAGATTAATAAGGTTATGACAGCACAGTCCCCAAAATATAGGAATCATGTTTCATTAATTAGCCACTGTTGTGCAGTGTGCGCATGTATATTAGTAGTAGATGCTCAGTTAACTAGCTATGTAACACTGTTGGTTGATTGATACCTCCCTCTATCATATATCTATAGCCGCTGCATCCCATAGATACAAATTAAACCACCCTCGTCAACCAAATCTTTCCCTCCATTGCTTTCTCCCACGCCACCCCCAGAGCAACCGGCTTCCCCTTCTCCCCGACCCGAAACTCAGCTGCATAAACTTCCGGAAACAACGCCCCCAGATCCCCAACATGCTCCGCTACGATTAAAAAATGCTCCCCATTGACATGTTTAAACTTTAGAAACTCCGGCCAGGTCGCGAAACCGCGGTCGGCACGGAGCACTCCCTCTTTCTGATCCAGATATATTTTGACCGTCTGATACCCCGGATGCACATACGTCCCAGCATACTCCTCTAGAGGCAGTGAGGTCGGAAGAACAGGTTCCGGGGGAGTGTGATTGATTGCATCGAGGACTTTTTTCTTTTCGGTTTCGATGTGCTTCATATTCCTGTTAGTAACTCCGTTAGCATTTCGAGTACATATATATACTTCGGTAATAGATTCGGGAACAACATACTCAGCATTCCAATCAAACCGCTTCTCAACCGGTACCCCCAGTTTTTCATCAATCAAATGAAACACTACAGCCTTCTCAGCTTCATTCGACGTGCCCGCCGTATTCGCCAACGCAACCACCGCGAACTGCAAAGTCGGGAAAATGATCAGTTCCGCTCCAAACGCATTCACGCCCCCCGTATGTTCATAATACTCTACACCTTGATATACGCCCGTCCACCAGCCGAGGGCATACGCGCGCGGGCCCGTAAACGGTGGCTCAGAGGGCAATACAGTCCTCGGCTTGAAGATGGCTTTATATACGGATGATGATAAAGGCGGGGACTGGTTGATTAACGCCCTCGCCCATTTCGCGTAATCAAGGACATTGGTGATTACTGCCCCTGCACCGGAGATCTCGGTGCAAGGCATCCAATCTACGCCGTGGTAGGTGTTATCTTCAGGGAAGTGGTAGTATCCGCGTGCTAGGTCCTCAGGTGCGTTTCTGGCATCGTCGAGATCGAAGAATGTAGCGTGCATGTTTAGTGGATGCCAGATCTCGCGGGCGAGGATATCACCTAGCCATTCACCGGTGAGGGTCTCGATGATGTGTGTAGCCACGATGTACATGAGGTTGCAGTATTGGAATTTGGTGCGCGGTTCGGCTGTGAGGGGGAGATGGCGGAGCTGGCGGACGAGTTCCCGGACGGCGGTGTCTCGAGGGAGATTGTTTCCGTAGGCTTGGTCGTGGCGGGGCAGGCCGGACCGGTGGGATAGGGCGTCTTCGATGGTGGTGTGGGTGGTGGCGTGGTCGTCGTGGAGGACGAAGTCGTCTCGGATCAGTTGGCTTATGGGCGTGTCCCATTGGACTTGGGGGTAGTTGGTGTTGTCGGAGACGAGGGTGGCTAGGATGGTTGCTGTGAAGGCTTTGGTGGTGCTGCCGGCGTAGAAGAGGGTGGAGGGGGTGACGGGGGTGGAGGGGAAGGTGGCCGTGCCGTAGCCCTGGAGGGAGGGTTGGTTAGTGATGGGGAGGGGAAGGGGAGGGAGTTGGGATGGGATGAGAGCTGACTTGGGCCCAGGTGTTGTCGCCGTCGACGACGGCGATTGACATGCCTGGGACGTGCCATTGGTTTAGGGTTTCGTGGACGAGGTTCTTGAAGGGCTCGCCGAGCGGGTTGGTGGGGGCGTGAGTGGTCATGCTTAGAGGGTAAATTGGTACAAGGGTGGATGAGTTGAGGTGTGCTTGATGAAAGTGACTTGAATGTACATGGGAGGGGGGAAGCTGACAGCTTCGTGTACAACAGGCTAGAGCTGAGGCGCTTCCCCGGCGGAGCTCCGCAGGTTACGTACGGAAGCTATACCGGCGAGGCTGCTCATATTACGTGGATGAGAATGGACAACAGCAATTTATTGTAACATGAGTGTCTTTGATTCGGTTATTCGGCTGAACGGCCCAAGTGTCTATTATTTATAGAGAACCCTAAATAGAAATTGAAAGCATAAATAAAGTAACTCCCGCATGTCCAAGTCCGCTTCATGCACACTGATTCCAACTCCGTTCCCAGAAGCCATACCGAGTTGCTCATAACCATCTGTAAGAGAAGTAAAAGAAAGCCAATGAGGCGAGATGTCTAGAATTCCATGCTCTCAGACTTGGTCTCTGTTGCGTCATCAGTTCGCCCACGCTTGCCGGTACGCTCTTCCTTCAAGAGCCCGGCAATGAAGGAGCGGAAATAATCGATGTAAGGCTTCAGGCTCGTCTTCTCATAGTCCTGCAGTCTGCGACCTCCCCTGGCATCAGAGTCCGGCACACTGCCTTCGCCATCTGCAGTCTCTGGTGCAGTGGTGCTAGGATGCTCGGCGTCCCAGGCATCAATCTCAGCAAGCAGCTCCGTGACTGTGGGTACGGAGAGAGGGTCGAATTGCTCTGCCTTACGGGCATCTATCGGAACACACACGCGGCCAGTGCCAGGATGGATGACGAACGGGCTCTTCAGCAAGTGAATCATCTTCTTGCTGACCTCCGAATCCAGACGGGGGTAGGTGTACTCGAGCACAATATCCTGCTTGGCGTCTCGCAGAGTAGTGGGGTTGAGAGTGCTGCTCTTGCCCGTCTTGGCGAGGGCGTCGATATCGGCCCATTTATTGGCACTGGCGCGGTCTGGCGATGATTCCCACCTCTTTCGCAGCGATTCATTCAGGCCTTTGTCGGGGAGCAATGAGAGCAGACGTTGCGCTTGTTCCGAACTCGCGAATGTGTCCTGGTCCACCAAGGTCGTTTGAGCAAAGTACGGTTTGAGAAGGTCGAGACTGCGAGACATGTGGGGGTGCAGCGGTCGTTTGACGTTGACTCGTTTACCGCTTGAATTGCCTCCTCGCACAACGTCCAGGTAGCCCGCAATGGCCCTTCGTCGATCATCTGGCAGGCTGCGTGCACGTGGGTCGCAAACCCAGGCGTGAGCACCACGACGACCAGAGTAGACCCACAAGATATGCTCGAAACCGAAATCTTCGCGAAGAGCCGTGTCGACAACCTTCATGGCCATGGTGACAAAGGTCCAGCATTTGCCACAAATATTTGCTTTTGTACAACAGGATCGGATGTCATCGTAATCTGTTAAATCGATATCGAACACCAGCTCTTTGGAGATCGGCTTCATCTGGCCACCTCGGAGCGTCTTCCGATCTCGGGGGTTCGTGTTGTAGACAGGTCCGATTTCGAATCGAGAGGGGTTCATCTTCAGGATATCTTTCCGAAAACTGCGGACAATAAATTAGAGCTTGGAATGCAAAACTCGGGGCTTCCACTCACAGGTCCGCAGTCGGGTACGACTGATATCGTAGGTAGGCATCGTTTTGAAGAGTAAGAGCGAATTCACGATTCCCAAAATCCGGGGAAGGAACAATCCCGTGATTCAACCATTGAAACAAATAGCGAAATGGGAAGAGGCGTTGATAGAAAGCCAGCATGGTGTCGGTGTCAACCTGGGGGCCCGGAGCGGCAGCCGGTCTGGAAGGGGAAGATTAATGCTTGCGCTTAGATGGATATCCCAGGAATGCTTACTCTGCTGGATCAGGGGCAGACGAGTCAACATGCTTCGTATCTGGTGCACTTGAGGCGGGGAATTCATCATCGTCATCATCATCGTTAAAGAGGTCTTCCAGCTTCACTCGCGCAGGTGCGCCGGCTTCCTGGTTCTCCGATGCTGTCTCCGGAGGAGCGTCCGGTAGAAGCTCATCATCCTTGTGGTTGATGGATGAGTCCTGCGATGACACAGAGTGAGGCATTGTAACTATTAATGACTTGGGTGTGATGGGCCGTCGACAACAGTCGGTGGTTGCATGCGCAAGCCATCCATCATCCATCCCGATCCATTGAACAGCACGCGTTGAGACGCGTTCCGACGCGCCGTCCTACCAGCCCTAAACCCTAAATTGAAGATCCAATCAGGCATCATCCGTGCAGCGGATCATGTGATGATATCCGCAAGCGGTGCTGAGTAAGCCAGGAACGGAAGTATGGCGACTGACGACTTTCTTCCTTTTGCTCTGCTACAACCTCGTCTTGTTTGGGTCCACCCCTGCACTGTCAGGAACAACTCAGGCTTTGGATGGCCGTTTGCGGTTGAAGCTGACGAGTCCCTTCGGGCTTTTCTCGTAATCCTTCATGGATGACGTGTATACTGCCCTGGTCCAGAAGAACGGATATCGGACCTGACGGAGCCTGGAGGCCTCATTCGACGTATTGCATCTATCTCCAGCGTCGGATTTGCCGCCTTAGCCTAATGCGGCTTCCCAACACTCCTGACTCATGGATATTCTTGCCGAAAATTTCTGAATGAGGTCGACGGTGTCGTGCGCTATGTGATCATGACCCTCCCGAAGTCCGCAAGAGGGGATCCCGTCATGGCTACCAGAGCAGGTGCTCGGAATTTCTGACGATATCCACGGCAAACACCGACCTGCTGTACCGCCCCCTTCGGTGCTCGCTTTGCTTCTTGCTCTGCCTTGTTTCCTTTCACTCGGGGTCCCCTGCCAGGTTTTCCTTTCCGCCCTGAATCTTATTCATCCTCAGATGCAACGTTGCAGACGTACCCATTGAGGACACCACATTCCCGGGTAGCCTTGCACAAACTGCCGATGGCTATGCTGTGTGGTGTCCCACACCATGAGAGATAACGCAGTAGTCAATCTCAGGATATATCTATGCCATGGCAGGTTATGCTCAAACACCGATACATCAGCTGTTTACCTCTTTCGTGCTAGGTGGCCCGGCTTGTTATAGGGTTCCATCTCCACAGAGAACCGTCCGTATTCTGACCAACACTTAGGTCAGAGTGATGACGCCACCACTGCCATTCATTCATCGATTGCATGCTCAAATGACCATCAGGCCCAAGGCCCTGAAGAATTTGATCTGGATATTGTGGGCCTCGATCCAAATGATACAGCGGGATGTCACATTCCCACTCTGGCCAGACATAGGATTTTCGTTTCTCAACCTCTCTCATTACATCGGTTCCTTTGCCATCCGTGGTTTGCTCAACTTAAATTTACTACGTAGATTACCAGACACTGTGGTCGAGCAACCAATCTGGCTTTTTTCTCCTGACCCGCGTCAATGGCGCCATGATGTTTTTCTCTTTGATCCTACTGTGGCATTATCACCATCATCCACTGAAGCAGCCACGAAAACGGTAGGAGCTTCATCCCAGGGATTTAAGGACTGCTCTTTCTGCTCGGGTGACAGACGTTCTTCCTTCTTTCTTATTACACCTAGGAGTCACTCGCTGTTTTTATTTCATTCGTTTTATCCCAAAATTTGTGTTGGGGATCGTTTGTAAGGCTTTCCATCAGCCAGACCAAGGATCGACAAACGATATGGTCAAGGGAGGAGTTGCGTTTCTGGCCTTGGCTGGCCCGGCGCTTGCGGGCGTTATTGTTCGCGGCACTGAGGTATGTGGGATTTGATCATCTCCTGATCATCGTAGACATGCTGACCAGCCCGTCATATCAAGCCGGCAACTACCAAGCCCGTGCTGACCACTGGGCTTCCGGGTACCAGTACTTGGGAGCCTGTGCCGACTGGGTTTGTGCCTCAACCCAAGCCGAACCCAACTGGAACGGTGAATCCTGTCAATCCGTCTACTAGCCACGGCACCGCTCCCATCAAGCCTACCTACAGTCAGGGTACTGCGCCTATCAAGCCGACCTATAGTCAGGGTACTGCTCCCATCAAGCCGACCACCAGCCACGGCACCGCTCCCATCAAGCCTACCACTAGTCACGGCACTGCCCCCATCAAGCCGACGTACAGCCACGGCACTGCTCCCATCAAGCCGACGTTCAGCCACGGCACTGCTCCCATCAAGCCGACGTTCAGCCACGGCACTGCGCCTATCAAGCCCACATTCAGCCACGGTACTGCTCCCATCAAGCCGACGTTCAGCCACGGCACTGCACCCATCAAGCCCACGTTCAGCCACGGCACTGCACCCATCAAGCCGACCACTAGTCACGGCACTGCTCCTATCAAGCCGACTACTAGTCACGGCACTGCTCCTATCAAGCCGACTACTAGCCACGGCACTGCTCCGGTTCAGCCTACTACTAGCCACGGCACTGCTCCAGTTCAGCCTACTACAAGCCACGGTACTGCCCCGGTTCAGCCCACCACTAGTCACGGCACTGCTCCAGGACCGGTTCCCACCAGCGGAACGGTGATCCCACCTGCGCCTGTTACCACTCACAAGCCTGCTCCTTACCAGAACACCACAGTCATTCCAATTCAGCCCACTCAGCCGGTTCCAATTGCCCCTGGTACTACCGTTATTCCTGGAGTTCCTGGAAACACCACTATTGTCCCTGTGGTTCCCGGTGAGACTACTGTCATTCCCGGCGTTCCTGGTGTGACCACCACTATCCCTGGAGTTCCTGGCCAGACGACTGTTATTCCTGGAGTTCCTGGCCAGACCACCGTCATCCCCGGAGTTCCCGGTGAGACTACCGTCGTTCCCGGAGTTCCTGGCGTGACCACTACTATTCCTGGTGTTCCTGGCCAGACCACCGTCATTCCTGGCGTTCCTGGTCAAACTACCGTCATCCCTGGTGTTCCTGGCCAGACTACTGTCATCCCTGGTGTTCCTGGCGAGACCACTGTTCCTGGCGCCCCGGGTGCAACCAGTGTTGTCCCTGGAGTTCCTGGTGAGACGACTGTCCCTGGAGTTGCTGGCGAGACC